AACTGAGATTTAGATGCTATTCCAAACCCCTCCTCCTTAGTCTGGAATTCTCAAACACAAGACTGAAGCCTCACTGGGAATTCAGCTCCATGGAGAAAAGACTCTTTTTGATTTGTTGGGAGGAAAGAGGAAGCTTCGCAAATCTCTCCTTAGGAAGCTGCAGCTTAATTTAGAATGCAAATTTCAACTGCTCAATAAGAAAGACATCAGCCTACGGGATCAAATAAATTTGTTTGTAATTATCAAATTCATTGCCAACCCACAAGATACTGACATTTCTGCAAAACTCCAGTTTCTGTCTAAACCCATCCCTCTACAATTCTGACTCACACTGATCCCAAATTTCTGAATGCTAAATATCAACATTTAATATTCACTCTTCTCAAGCAATGGGCCTTTTCCTACAGCCTGCTACATCTCATTTCTGGTACTACCTGCATTTGACAAAGGAAAGGTAGGGCTCTAATCACAGAAGCAGAGTACTTCAGTCTCTGCTAGGCCTAGATAAAAGAAATAAACTTTATTACCACCTTTCTCACATACAGAATAGACAGGCAGTATTTTTAACAGGAACCCAGAGCTTGTCCGTTTCTCTGAAAACAATTCTTCCCTTTTAGATTATTTACAATGTGATAATACCATAAAGAGAATATTAAATGTAATATTAAAGAAATCTTCAAAAGAAAAAATAGTAACAAACGCTGGTGAGGCTGCAGGAAAAAGGAGACACTTCTATATTGCTGGTGGGAATGTAAACTAGTACAATCCACTATGAAAATCAGCATGGGGATTCCTCAAAAAACTAAAAATAGAAATTCCATTCAACTTAGCTATTCCCCTTCTATCTACCCAAAAGTGTTAAAAGACAGTATATTACAAAGATACGTGCCTACTCGGGTTTGGGGGTGTTTTTTTTTTCAAACTCAAGTTTGTTTTTTTGTGGGGGGGGGTTTACAGTGAACCAGGTTAAAATTTATCAAGTAGGGGATGAGCCAGATGTGGTGGTGCTATTTAGGAGGCTAAGGCAGGAGGAGGATGGAAAGTTTGAGGAAAGGGATGGAAATGTAACTCTATGGTAGAGTGCCCCTGGGTTCCATCCCCAGTACACCCACAGACAAACAGATTCCTGTGTATGTGGAGATATTTATAAAGTTAGGCATGGCAGTATACTCGAGAAGCTGGCTAACATAGGAGGATCATGGCTGGAGGCCAGCCTGCACTACATAACAAGACCTTGTCCCCCAAAAAAGAAAGGATATACATTTTTGTAAGGGGGGGGTGTGCCTGCCATGCTGCAAAAGTGTAAAGAATAAACACTGTCAATTGGAGAGTGGATAAAGAAGATGCAGTTTTTCTATAAAATGGAGTACTATTCAGATATAAAGAATGAGAAACTAGAGACATTTAAAGCTAAATGGGTGCACATTGAGGCCATGCTCTTAAGTGAAATAAATAGGACACACATGAGTAAATAGTGAACAGTTTCTCTGGTGTGAAAAACTAAAAGTGTAAATCAGGTTCAAATTGTATAATTGATATGTGAAATAGGAAGAAAAGGTCTAAAGGAGTAGAGGAAGTGGGAAGGGTAGGGGAAAAGAAAGAAAGGAAAAGAGAAAAATATGAGAAAAGGAAAAACATAGAAACAAAGTCTTTGCAAATAGGGAAGGGTGGAGGGGGTGAAGGGAGGGAAGAGGAATGGAGAAAAAATAAGAACCAAGATAAGTCACATAAAGGTACAAGATCCCAATAATGAATGTAACTGTACTGCATACCTACAATGTACCAACAAACTTAATGGAAAAAAAATAAATGACACTGTCACATACTGATGAAGGTAACAAAACAACAGACCCTCAACTTCAGTGTCCCGCTACTTCGTGGCTACTTCACAGCCACTGAATGAGCAGTTACACTGCTTAGTAACTTATCTATACATAAAATGGACAAACGACACCCCAGAGCAGAGTAAGATGCACAAAATTTCCATACTCTATATGTTTCACTGACTCTCAATAGGCAACATGATTAACTCAAAGTAGAAAACAAATTTCTTCACGATAACCTCACAGTCCCAAGTGGAGAAGCCTCTGCTCTGCCTGTAGGGTCCTCCTTCACTCTGCAATCCAGGAAATGCTCTACATCGTCCCAGATTCCTGATCACCGGATGGTGATACAGTCTGGCCCAGCTGTGTCAGCAGTGCTCACCCCAGAGGCAGGAGCCTTAGCTCAGGTGCTTCACAACCTTCATTCAGACGGCCAGGGTGCCCAGTCGCTGCTCTAGGACTGCCCCAAAATCCGTTCCTGTCATCCTGCGCCATACTCGTGTTTACAGCAGAACAATTCATAACAGCTAAATCTTGGAAGCAGCCTACATGTCTATCAATAGACGAATGTGGCATATACATATGGAAGTTATTACTCTACTATAAAGTGATAAATTTGAGTCATTTGTAGGAAAACGGAAGTACTCTGAGATCATAATATTAAGTGAAATAAATCAGACACAGAAGCTTAAATATCAAAGTTTCTCTTATATGAGAAACTCAGAGTATAAAAAAATTAGAAAAATAAAAAATAACGGGAAACAGGGAGATGCATCTTTTCAAATGGAAACGGGACCAAGAAATGGAGGGAGGGCTGCTGTAGGGAAGAAAAGGGACATAAAAAGAACTAAGAAGTGCTATGTTATGAACAAATTCTCCATGATAAATATAAGCATTGTGTACTGCAAACATTTACTAGTAAAAATAAAAACTGAAAAACAAAAGCAAACAGAATATGTGAGGCCCAGGGTTCAATCCCCAGTACCACAAAAATAAAAACAGTGAAAACTGGCAAAAACAAAAAAAAATCCAACTTAAAATAGAGAATAGACTAAAACCTTCGGCAGCAGTGCTTTTCTAATTTTACTGTTTTATTTCCATGACCCAGGTTGCCAGAGTCTGATTTTAGAACTCAAAAATTCTGCATTTTAACATCCTTGATGACTAATGAAAATGATCTGTGAAACACACTTGGACAAATATCCTTTTATATATTCCTTCTACCCTCAAATATATTTAATAATTAAATCACAGCTTACCACCATTCCCATGGAGAGCATCAACACTATACAATCCTTTTCCACTTCTCTATTTCACTTCCTTATTCTATTCCTGCACTTAACTCACTTACCCAAGTATCCTCTTGTTAGCCACGGAAGGCATCTACCAGAAACATACCCAGGAAAAAAGTTCTCAGCAAAAATTACAATAATTTCCTTTTGTTTTGCAATCAGCATGGCTGCAAATTAGGAGTTTAAGAGAGGACATATTGGGTTTTTTGTTTGTTTGGATTTTGTTATTAAAACAAACATATAAGAAATTCCAAAGTGGGAAGGGTAGGGGAAGGGGAAGGGAAAGAAAAAAATGGGAGAAAATGAAAAAATGGGGAGGGGAGGAGTGGGTGAAGGGAGGGCAGGGACAAGGGGAAAAAATAAGAAACAAGACCAGTCATGTAAAGGTAAAATATCCCAATAATAAATGTAACTACTGTATACCTAAAATGTACCAATAAACTTAATGAGGGAAAAACAATTTTTTTAATTAAAAAAAAAAAAAAAAAGAAAGAAAGAAATTCCATGGCCGGGCTTGGTGGCTCATGCCTGTAATCCCAGCACTCGGGAGGCTGAGGCAGGAGGATTGCTGTAAATTCGAGACCAGCCTGGGCTACATAGTGAGTTCCAGGTCAGTCTCAACTACACAGTGAGACCCTGTCTCAAAAAAACCAAAAAAAAAAAAGAAATTCCACACATGTCAATGCATACCTCAAATCCCAGCACCTGGGAGGCTAAGGCAGAGTGATTTTGACAAGAGTTCAAGACCAGGTGAACTACATAATGAAACCTTGACTCAAAAAATTAAAATAAAGAAAAAATTAATTAGGTTTTTTGTTTAGCTTGGTTTTGCTGGACTGAACATTTTTCTTTCAAGGCAATATCAATACCTTTAAAATTTGTGAAAAAAAAACTTGTAATCACTCCAAACAACCTCAGGGATAACCATGTGCATATCTTTTCATTTTTTTTTTTTCTGTAGATATACAAACACATACACATAATGTTTCTAATATGGAGCCAGAATTAGGAATCTTTAATTTCGGCCAGTCACACTAGGGAATAAAATGAAGTTAATCCAAGTCAGTCAGATAAAACACACATTCTAAAAGCATTATTATTTTAACCTTCTCACAAAACAGAATGGTCCCCAAGACTTAAATGTTTGAGTTAAAGCCTGACATGGTTCTAATGTTTAAATTCCAGTCTGTTTTATAACACAAACTATGTATCTAAAGTTTAAGAAAATCTTGGGTCATTAAGAGTCAAACAACTATGTGACTCTCACGTACACATAGTCAACTATGTGACTCTAAGTACAACACCAGAAGCAGAGCCATCTATGGACTAGGTGGAGTCTGGCCTGCCTGCAACAGACCCCAAATTGGGATTATAGGGCTCAAAAAAAAAAAAAAATCAAAACTGCTAAATCCTAAAGGAAGTAAACAAGTAATCTACAGTGATGACCATGGCTGTGATTGTTGCCAATCTCGGAGCAGAAAAGTGTGAAGGAAAAAAAAAGGCCTTTGTGGGGATGAAAACAACACGTGCTAATAATAGTGCATGCAGATCTGCCACGCGCAAGTATACACTACTTATTAACAGCAATGGAGAGAGCTCCTCTCTAAGAATATACAGGAATAGGAACGACAAACCCTAATACATGCAGTGCTGAAAGTGCAGTCCTGTCAACAGCAGTAAGTCCCAAAGCAACGGAATGAGACTCTCAACTGGCCCAGAAAGCTTCCCAGGCTGAGAGCCGCGGCACCTTCCCGAGTTGTTATAGTAACCGTACCGACGCTCGGAGGGCAGCGGATGCACCACGGAATTGGCGGGCACTGTGTAAACTGGGCTCCCTGCTTCACCAGTAACAAAAGCACGTTTAGATTGTAATCTACGGCCTCACCTGCAATTTCTGCAAGATGTGCTTAGCTTCTTCCTCTTCATCAGCCATCATTCCCCAGCTGCTCTTGGTTTCTCCGCCCCCCCAACTTTATAACCACAGAGATTCAGGCTCACGCCTACCGTATAGTCACAGCGACATCTAGGGCTCTGGAGGCTTACGGCATTGCTCCAAACTAAGCCTCTATAGAAATTCGAACGTACTCTACAATCACTTTTGATTTCAGAAACTGCTTTCCGAGGATCTGAGAGTGTATCTCTTGAACAGTGCCTTCCCAGCGTGCGTGAGAGCCTGGCTCGAGCCCCAACACCGCAAAAACATACAGATACATACGTAAAATAAATTTCGTTCCCAAATTCTGGAAACAAAATGTTCTCATTGACACATTTTTGTTTCGTATCTTTTATTACTTGTATCAAGATTATAATATTCTAGCCGGGAGTGGTGGCGAACACCTATAATTCTAACACATGGCAGGAGGATCACCTTAAGTTCGAGGCCCCCTAGGCTACATGGGGAGACTGTCTCAAAAGGCAAAAGCAAAAGCAAAACAAAATAAAACAAAACAAAACAAAAAACTTATAATACTCTAAAAATACTACAGGTTAAGATGGTAGATGCCAGTATCCGTTTGAAATTTTGAAAGGAATGTACAGATGCATAATGTTAACTTGTCTCAACCTTTTCCAAACTGCAATTTTCTACTTATGAAGAACTTTATCAAGTCTGTAAGTAGGGAGGGGTGGAGGGGTTAAAGGGAGGGCGGGGGAATGGGGAAAAAAATAAAAACCGAGAAATACCATGCAAAGATACAAATTTCCAATGATGAATGTCACCATATTGCATTCTTAAAATGTACCAATAAACTTAACTTAAAAAAGAATTTTACCATGTTGAACATACTATTGTAAGACTACTACACTTCGGGTGAGTATAAAACCATTACACTGTGATGCTCTAATGACCCTTATGCATTTATTATCTCCAATGGATACCTAAGAATGTCTCTGTAGAATGAACCAAGAGACTGGGAACTGTGGAAGAGCAAAGAAAATTCTTCTGTGTACTCTTCCAAAATTTTTACCATGCACATGCAATACTTATTAAAAAGAAACATGATTTTTAAATAAAAACTTACTTGCCTCTACTATCCCTAAAGATACAACAGCGGCAAAAGTAACTCCTAAAAAATGGAATTGAGAGCCTGAGGGACAACAGTAGAGATTATTCTATCTTTTCTTTTGTACCTTTTAAACTTGTATGATGTGAATGTATTAAACTCTTGAATATATTTTTTGTAGTACTGTGCAATATTCCCAACAATGTCTCTTTGCTTGGGATTGAAACCAGGACCTCTGCACTGAGCTACATCCCCAGACTTTTGACAGGGTCTCCCTGAGTCATTCAGTTGCCCCTGCCAGGCTCAAACTTACCATCCTCTTGCCTCAGCCTCCCAGAGTGCAGGCTATTGTGTGTGCTCCCATCTGACTGTACTTTTTAAATTATAGGTAACATATTTCATATTGATTCTATGAACCTAACAAAGTAGCAAAATGTTCAAGGCAAAAATCATGAATGTACATAGAATCATTGCCTCAAAATATTTTCCAAAACAGTGTAAAACTGTAGAGGGAAGGAAAATACTTTGTACTACAATAGATACAACCTGCCTTATTAGCTATAAAATAGAGAGCAGTATTTTTAAATCGAGATTTTTTCATCAGATACCATTTTTAACTTTGGAATACAGCAAGAAATCATTTTGAAATTTTATACTCTGTGCTAATGAACAAAACTATTGGCTTACTACTTTCGTGAAGCAGGAGTATTCATGTACCTTTCTACAGTGAATAAATATAAAAGTTCCTCAAATCATTTCAGTATAACTTTTGTTAGCTAAAAATCAATGGTATTCATGGCTAGGGAAGTATCTCAGCATTGCATCGCCTGCCTGGCAAGTGTGAGGCCCTGAGTTTGAGTCCCAATACCAAAAAAATCAAGGGTATTCATCACTCTAGGAGGAGAAAGAGCCAACCTGAATAACTTACTGAGATGATGTATCAAAATTTTTAAAATTATATATAGAGGAGGGGTGGCTCACAGCTGAAATCTCAGCACTCAGGAGGTTGAGGCAGGAGGCTCATTGCAAGATGGAGGCCAGTCTAGGCTACATACTGAGTTCAAAGGCAGCCTGAACTACATAGCAAGAACCTGTCAAATAAAATACATAAATGACTGGGGATATATCTCAGTGCAAAGGCTCTGGGTTCCATTCCCAGTAATGCTAAATAAATTAATTAAATTATAGGGCCTTAAAAAGGGATCTAGCACTTAGGTTAATTCCATTACAATGCTTCCCAAACCAATAAGACTTATTCATAAAATTTAAGAATTAGAAAAAGCTGTATGAATAACTTAATTCCATCCTCATTTCACAGATATAGAATGTAAAGTCTAAAAAGGTAAACTCAATGTCTCATAACCAATATATAGAAATAAACCACATTTACAGCCTATACGTTCTGCTTCCCTAATCTGAATGCTTTCAAGTCTTGCCACTAAGACATATAAATATAGTTACTGAGACTGCCCTTCAAATTTCTTTCTTGTCTCTATGAAATAATTAAGTATAGCAATTACACATAATTTAATGTCTGTAACAATAGTCAGAAATGCTCACTATTTACTAAAGGGAAACAGGAATTAGTCCTTCAAATTATTTTAATATAAATGCAAATACAAATAAATACACACAAATAACAAGGCAGATCATTCACCATTGTCTAAGACTAAAATTTTCACACAAATACATGGACAAATACAGCAAAATACCAATGAACACACTTCCATACATATATATGCATAAATACCAGAACCCAAAGTGACATGTGCCCATATAACAGGTGGTTACAGACAGATGCATGGATGCTAAGCTCAATCAGAAGGTGCCAGGCAGAAACAGTGATCTATGAAATAATGTTGGGACCTTTTCATCAGTGGTGAGAATTCAACAGCACACATAAAAATTGAAATTAATAAAATGTTCATGCTTTAAATAATACAAACAAAGAACTTAGCCACTAAGGGAACCCCCACCCCCAACTGCCACTGAATTTCTTGTAACTTGAAGATATGAAGATAAATTCAAAGACTTAATACCTCAGAGACAATGATGACTTCTATGGAGCATAAAGATTATATAACTGAAACAGCTAAAGGCAAACACATTCTCTAAAGTGTTAAATTCTTTTTACTTTGAAGGCTCTGCTAGATACTTGCTGCTGCTCTAATTCATGACTTTGAGAGGCAAAACTAAAAAAGCTGTTGCTGGGCTCAGGTGCTGTGGGAGAACCCACAAAAAGTGGTCTGAACTGAAAATCTTCATCTCCACCACCCCGATTTCCAACTGGTGTACTGTCCAAAGGAAACTTGGAATTGTTCCCTAGGGAAAAAAATTAAGGAAGAACATAAACATTATTTCCTTATAGATTTTTATGAATGAAAAGACAAAAGCCATTCAAAAAATATTAACACAACTCAACTCATATGAGATGGATAAAATACAGTCCAAATACTAGACAAAGAGAACTACAATGTCTTCCACCCTCTTCATGACCACACTACCATATATACTCTGCATGTTTTGTAATGCAGTTTCCATTATCTCATCACCAAAACTAACTTGACACAATAAAATATTTTTGGTAGAGCAAGGATTTATAATATCACAATTTTATGCATTTCTTGTCTAACCCACTTCAGAGAAACCATCAGAAAAAAAAATACACACACACACACACACACACACACACAATCTTTTGTCTTAAATTCTTCAAGAACCTATAATTCTTTAAAATATTATATTCTTGTCTACCACTTCAGAGAAACCATCAGAAAAAAAAATACACACACACACACACACACACACACACAATCTTTTGTCTTAAATTCTTCAAGAACCTATAATTCTTTAAAATATTATAATACACACTGCCAAAAATATATGACAATGGGCCAGGAATGTAGCTCTGTGCCACAGTGCCTGCCTGGCAACCATGAGTTCAATTCCTGTAACAAAAAAAAAACAAAAAAAAATACACACACACACATATACATATATGACAACTATGAAATACTGGCATACATTCATGACCCAATATCATTAGAAAAGGCTTAAGAAAATCAACCAGACAACAGATCTGATTAAATGAACACTTAATTACCTTCACTGAACCTTTATTGGCTTTTACAGGATTTAAAGAGAACTGGTAGGTAAGAAAGAGAAATACCAACAATATCTGCTTCTGGCTAATAGTGGCAGCAAAAAGCAAAAGGTAAGATCATACAAAAGAAAAAAAAGAGGAACAGCAAGAACTGGTGAATATAAAAGATGTCAAAATAAATGTGGACAGCGAAAAAAAAACACAATGTCTTTTTACAGTAACAACTAAATTACAATATGAGTAACTGAAAGGTAGAAACTTGTTTTCAATTCTTGTAACAGATATCCCTCATCTTATCACCTCATACCTTTTCTAGAACATTATCTCCTTTCCCACTGTATCTTTTTCTTAGCCTATAATAAATATTTTTTAAATGAGAACTTAGGTAAATCTATTATAAAAAGTTTCACTTTTTTAATACCAAAAGCAATTTACACTAACAGCATAAGAAAAATACATTGGATTCTGTTGCATCAGGAGTAGTATAGAGGAGAAAACTCAGGAAGAGAAAGATACATTTGATCTTCAAGGCACCTAGATTGTGAACTTTCAAAGGACAATAATCCTATCTGGATAATCTTTTTATCCTCATTGCTCAGAATCATGACTAAAAGCCTGGCACAGAAACATATTTGGTAAGAATTTGACGAATGGACAAAAGTATAAATGAAAGTACAAGCCAACCAAACAATTTATCAAACAATAATTTAAGAACTGTGGAGTTGGTATTGGTGCAGGGTTGTAGCTCAGTGGAACTGCTGCTGCCTGGCAAATGCAAGGTCCTGAGTTTGATTCCCAATACAAAAATGACCAGTATTGGTTTATGGGGAAAAAAAAATGAAACACAGCCTTCCTGGAGGATGGCAAATAGTTAAGAATATAGGCTCCGTGATCAGAACCAAGTTATTAGTGAAAATAATTGTGCCCATCTCTCAGAGTTTTGCAAATTACATGAATAAGAGTGCTTACTAATTAGTAAGGAACCAATAAACAGCCAATATCATATTTCTTAATGCAACAAAATGGCTTTCTCAAACTTTAATTTTCGGAGATGAACTTTGCTCAAATTAAAACTGTAATTTAAATGTAAGCAAATACAATAGATAAAAGCAGTGACATATAGGTTGAGACATGCTAATCCAGAGCTTACCATGACTCCACCTTTGGAGTCTCCATTAACTGCATGGACCTATGCAGAGCACAGTGGGAGAAATCATTGATTTGAAGAACAGATATCGGATATCACATGTCCTTTCTTACCTAACGTGAAACCAAAAACACCAGCCTGTGTAATCACAGACGGTTCAAGCTTGCTTTCTTGGTTAGCAATGGTGATATTTCTCAGCCTAAGACTATCATAAAGGCCTTGGAGCTTTTGATACTGGCGATTGCGTTCCATAAGTTTCTCAGATATATCACTGAACTTTTTCTTGTATTCTTCTAGCACCTTTTTCATGGAAGTGACCTCACCCTTCATAGAGGTCAATTCCACATCCTTGCTCTGTATTTGCTGAGTATATATTTTCTCCATCTGTTTCAGATGGCCCTCGGCCTTGCTGAAATTGTATTCTTGATAGAGACGTTCCTGATGTACCTGTCCCAATTAGAACAGAACGACTTTTAGGACAAAGATTAAAAGTTACATGTTACAGAAGTTCATACAAACACAAAAGGAAAAGATGTTTACACAGTGTCTATTTTATGGTTATTCTTTTTCTTTCTTTTTATTTTCTCCTTTTTTGCAGTACTACAAATGAAAGCCAGGACTTTCACACTGAGCTATATTCTCAGCTTCTTTTTATTTTTTCATTTGGAAACAAGGTCATGCAAAGTCTCTAAACTGCCCAGGCTGAGCTCAAACTTGCAATCTTCCTGCCTCAGCTTCCAGAGTGCTGAAATTACAGGCATGCACCAACTTGCCTAGTGTTTGAGTAAGGTACATGTAGAGAATTGTTACAAATTGGGGAGAGGATGACAGCAATTGAAATACACTAACTGAAAGAGGAAATCCATAAAAGAAATACATGAAAATATGCAAGAAAATATATTTATCTAAAAGTCATCAAATAAGCTGCACATGGTTGTACATTCCTGTAATACTAGCATTTGGAAGGCTGAGGGAGGAGCACTGCTGCAAGTTTGAGGCCAGTTCAAGACCAACCTGACCTATATAGCAAGACCTTGTCTCAAAAATCCTAAATATATATATAAAATAAATCATCAAATAAATGCATAAAGAATGAGAGTCTATTTTACCTTCAAATCTAACTCATTTAAAATGTAGAGAACTAAGCACCCTATACATTTCTCGAGAACAAACAAATGGATATGCCTTACTGGAGAACAATTTTCAAATATCACAATTGAGTGTTCAAAATGCACTAGACATTAGGGCCAAACACAAAGTCCTGAATTTGATCCCCTGTACCAGAGAAAAAAAATGCACTTGGCACCCCTTTAATTCTAGGTATCCAGAAGGTTGAAGTAGGAAGACAGCAGGTTTGAGGTCGCCTGGGACAATGTGATGAGATCCTGTCTCAAAATTTAAAATTTTTAAAAGGCTGAGGATGTTGCCCAGTGGTAAAGCAGTTGCTTAGCAGGTACAAGGCTCTAGGTTCAATTCCCGGTAACCTGCCCAGCATTTGTCAATTTTAACTGGTCATAAAATCTATATGTAGTATTATCCTACATGCACAAACAAAAATATCAACAATGGGCTGCTTGCTGGGGCAGCACATATACTAAAACTGGAACAGTACAGAGATTAACATGGCCCCTGAACAAGGACAACATGCGATTCATGAAATGCTTCATAGTTATAAAAAATATGCATCAACAGAGGTTTTAAAAAATTTCTCTCCTTTTTGATTTTCAACAGCACCTCTTTCAAAAAATGAAAACCATTTATTAAAAAGAAAGTTTTACATATGGTCATAAAAAGAAATATAAAATAGTGGGCTGGGGATTTAGCTCAGTGGTTCAGTGGCCTGCCTTGTAAGCACAAGGATCCAAGTTCAATCCCCGGTACGAAAAACAAAACAAAAAAACAAAGAAATATAAAATAGCGAAAGAAAAACAGCAGGAACTCCCACATGGGCTTATACCCTCAGTGAGAAACCACTCTAAGCACTAACCTGGTAGGTCCAGAAGGCCAAAGCTCGGGAGCTAATGTCCAACACAATCTCTGGCCGAAGCCCTGCCAATACCATAGCTTTATATTCCTCTGATGGACTGAGTTCTGTGCGGACAATATCTAGTTTACCAGAAAGGGTGCTGTTGCAAGCAGGGCAGACAGCAGGTGAACGACTAAACTCACCACTGCCATGCTGATCACAGAAGATGTGAGAGCAGGCAGTGACCCATGCATAACCAGAGAGTTTGACCCGACACTTTCGATAATTACAAAGCAGCATGTCTTCACACAAAGACATGATAATGAGTTCTCCAGGTGTTTATGAGACCTAATAAAAGGTAAATGAAAAGGGAAATAAATCAAACTGTAATGACAAGTAGACAAACAAAAAGTATGCTTTATTTTATTTTGATAAAACAATATATTTTGTTATGTTTTCAGTATTTATTATAATCACTATCATTACACTGATTTCACTCTCTCAACAATATTGTGCTTTGGCCTGCTTCCTGAGCTCAACAAAATAATAACACAATAATTCAAATAAAATATTTGTGGGGGCACACAGGAATGTGCAGCTGCTGCAGAAACTGCACTACCTTTGTACGATGGCCATAAAAATTATTTTAAGGAAAAGTTAAATGCACAGGTGGTTCTAAATCTTGATACAGTAAAAAACAATATGCATTTGGGAAAAAGTTTAGGAATATTTACAAAGTATAAACAAGTAAACATTAAATCAGTAACTTCTACAATTTTAATATATAAGTAAAAGCCTAAATGTATCATCCATTCATACTTTGCTAGAATATTTTAGTACCACATCTCACACTTGGAGAACATAATAATCTAAGAATGATTTCTGCCATTTTTCAATGTAAACTACATTTTTGAGTTTTCCAAAGCTGATTTCTCAGATTCTTTACCTACCTTGCCTTGATTTAAAAACACGTGGGCTGGGGATTTAGTTCAGTGGTTCTGCCGCCTTCCTCTCAAGGTAAGGTCCCGAGTTTGATCCCTGGTACAAAATAAATACACCAGCTGCCTTTTAACATTACACAGGAACAATTTATCCCAGTAACTGACAATTATGACATCTGATAATCAGCATAAAAGCTGCTTTTGTGTAAACTCTTTTATCATCAATTAAACAATTCACTTATTAATGTAAATACGACTCGGTGCCATGCTTTGATTTAAAAGTTGTAAAAGTAAATTTTCTAGGTTGTCACTTTCAATAGTGTCCATCCACTCTCACTGGAGTTTAATCCAAAAATGGGCACTAATATTCTGATCATACCAAAACAAGTAATATATCTCATAAAATAATACTACCACATCAGTCATATAGAAAGCAAAACTGTACACATTTATCAATCAAAGAACGTTGCCTTAGTAATAGGAACGGAGACTCTGACACCCAAATCTTCTCACTGAATCAGTTTCCACAATAAATGTCATCAGACCACCAAAGTTAATGAGGTCTACTTTATCTCCAGCAGGGTAATGGGCATAAGGGAAAGCAGAGGAGTCAGGAAAGATTTCAAAGTTGAAAACCTTCCCAGGAGTAAAAAAGGTGCACCTAATTCCAAATTTTCCACAAGGTAGAGGAAAGCGTCAGTTTAGTGGGCTGTAAGTCAAGGCCCTATTTTAAGAATTAGAACGACAGAAAACTAGAACATCTGAAAACCCTGAAATTTTCGGCCTGCTTTCTGACCCCAACAAAATAATAACACAATCCAAACAAAATATTGGGCCTGCGGGGGGCAAAGAAATAAGTAAATAAAAAGCATAGGAATTCTCAGCTGCCACTAAAAGTCCACTACCTACAAGGACTCCGTGCGCGTCAACAGCGACTCGGACACCATGTCAGAGAGCGCATGGGCAGAGCCGCCCGGAGCCTGCTGGGAAAGGGCCTGGAAGGCGCAGGCGCAATGGATAACTTCAAGTGCTCTGGGCTCTGCCTAGGCGCAGACGCGAGAGGTGTCCCACTTCCAGTTCCAGCCCTACTGACCCTGCCGATGAGAGGTTATAAAGACCTGCCCTGGAGTGGCACAAGTGTAACATCTTCCTATTGAGGGGAAAGTCTCATAGAGCAGGGTGAGTAGCTGACTTGAGCCCCAGCCCCTCCTACATTCAGGTATGTGTTCAAGGAAAATGCTGGGAATCACACGCAGCCAGCACAGGCTTTTTAAATTTCAGAAAGAATTCCCTGCAGATGGATCCTGCCTGTATTTGATTGGCTGATCACCTCTATGCTGAAGTAGATTATGCTATTTTACTTTTATCCTTGGAAAAAGCATTTTTTCGGTTTTTACACATCCTCTAAATACATTTAAAGAACGTGTAACTTTTCCTTGAGCCGGCTTTACAGACACTGATGTGAGCCCGGGATGTAGCTCAAGCGCGAGGCCCTGAGTTTGAATCCCGGTAGAGGAAAAAAAAACAGCGAGAAATGGAGAGAGCTAGAGCGCACGAGCAGCCATGACGACACAACTAAGACACTCACTAAAAAGGACTTGCAGAACTGCTTCAGAAAGTAGTAAGAATAATTAGATAAAATTTTTGGAAGCAAGGGGGATTATTTTGAGGGGAACTAATGAAGATATGTCTTGGCGGGGGGATTTAGCTCAGTGGTACTACTGCCTGCCTCACAAGCACCGGGTCCTCAGTTCAATCCCTAATACCAAAAAAAAAAGTTCTATATGCTATTAATTTTTTAAATTTAAATATTCACCGTATACTTCAATCATACCTCCTATGATAGGAATCGTTACATCTAAATAAGAACCAGAAAAGGTCATTAAGGATTAACTAATTTAGCTAGGCAAAATGATGAGAAATTAATGTCAAAACCAAGGTAAATTGACTAAAGAAAATTGGAACAATTGTACATAGTCCCATTACCATGCAATGCCTAATTTTAGAACTATATTAGGCCTTGATTGTTAGTGCTGGAAGTAATGAAGGGTAAGCCAGCTGTCAAAAAGACACAGAAGCAATAAAAACAAAGAATCTCTGAAAATCTATGTGAAGATGTAAATGATACAACATAGGTTTAAACTCTGTCTGTCTGTAACTCATTCTAACTATACTCTGCTAAAATCTTCAATTTTTAAAAAAGTAAAATTTAGTTGATTTTTAAAAAGAAACGAAATTTATAGTACCGTAGCAACTAGCCACGGAGTTACAAGGAAACTTCACAAATTCCTGTGTATGTCAAAGCTTCTCAATCTCAACATAAGCTTTACCATAAAAGAAAAATGCAGTCATAATCTGTTGTTTATCCTGGATTTGCAACATGAATAAGTCCAGAGTGGAAACATGAAACTCAGATCTGGTTCTGGTCTCTTCTGCAAAAGATAACCAAAAGCTAAAAAATTATTCCAACTACTGATGTTAGATTGAATTACTTATACTTTCTGTATTTTGTTCTAACATCTACCTCATTCTTTTTTTTTTTTTTTTTTTTTTTTTTTTTAATTTCAAGGCAGGCCACTGAACCACTGAGCTAAATCCCCGGGCCCCTCATTCTTAAAAATACAGGCACAGGTAAAAAAGACTGTCTAATTTGCTTAAAATAACCTTATACAATACATAAACATAATAAAGTTAAAAAACACAAGTTTCCGAAAATAAGATCACCCATAGAACCCAATATTAGAGACAATTACCGCTAGTATTTTCATACATATATCTAGTTTTCAGATGATTTCTCAAGCAAACATGCATTTTAAAATGTTTAAGCAAAAACATACTGCTTTATAACCTGTTTTTAATTTCATGAAAACTCTATTTTAATAAACGTAAACCTATACCATAACTTTTAAGTGGCCATAGAGAATTACATTTTATGGTTCATATAACTGATTTAACCAACTGCAGGACTCCCTTATACAGACTGACATATTAGTGATTTGTTTAAAATTGCCAAGCTAAGAAGTTGATAAGATTGTACCAGTGGTTTTTCTTTATTGTTTGAATTTTTAGGTTAAGGATTCCTGATCCTAGTTTCATCTCAAAGGTAGTGTCACAGAAGATCAAAGCACAACAAAATACTGGTCACAGTATCCAATCATAATTCAAAGATTTAAGAATTACCTGAGATCATGAGCTAAGTTCCAATAGGAATTCCAGCAAGGAAAATTCAGTTCCAGGTGTCTACCCCTAGCCTGTCTTCTCAGAGTATATGTTTAATCGGGATAATCAGCGGAAACACAGACTTACCATGCATTTCATCATGGCAAACTGTAAATAACTGGTGAAGTACATAGCACGACTGGCTTCTTGTCCCTAAACCAGGAAAAACTTCTTAAGGTTGGAACTAGGGCTTTGTCAACTACCAATTTTCAGCCACTAATAACACTGAATCCCAAATCTTTCTATAAAAATGAAGATTTTTCTTTTATACTTACCTCCAGTATCAGATGAATCAAATTGAACTATAGCATCTATCAGCTACCTAGCATCATCTCTGGAAAATAAAAAATAGTAAATACAGAAAGGTTATAATCACATGGCAACTCATACCAGTATGCTTCAAACCAAGTCTTGAGGAAAATTAGACTAACTGTTCATTGTTTATTTGAATGTTCATTTGGTAATATAAATTATTGATATTTGGTGAATGTCATCAAATGCCCAAATTCAACATCAGATTAGGTCAGGATTGCCGTGTGTGGTGATGCACGCCTGTAATCCCAACACTGCAGGAGGATCACTGTGAGTTGTGAGTTCGAGGCCAGGCTGGGCTACATAGTGAGTTCTAGGTCAGCCTCAACTACATAGTGAGACCCTGTCTCAAAATAACAACAACAACAACAACAAATTAGGTCAGTTTATCAAACTCAATATAGTCATCACCCATTCTACATTCAGGATTTGCAGCATTTTATTAAAAGCTTGGATTTAACTATACAGTAAATCTAGCCAGCTTCTGAAAGGCTATAAAAAGTCAACACAATAAGAGATAATAAGCCTCACAATAAAAGAGAAAGTATGCAAAAGGAAGGAGACAAGAAGTCATAAAATTCAGACAAATAAGAAGCTCACTATCTGGGCATGGTGGCACACATCTGTAATCCCAGCACTCGGGAGGCTAAGGCAGGAGAATCGCTGTGAGTTCGAGACCAGCCTGGGCTACATAGGTGAGACCCTATCTCAAAAAACCAAAAAAAAAGAAGCTCACTTCTTATAATCCCAGCACTCATGATACTGAGGCAGGAGCGTGGCAGTGGGGCCAGCCTGGGCTGCACAGTGAGTTCAAGGTCAGTCTAAATTACATAGCGAGATCCTATCTCAAAAAACAAAAGCAAAAAAAAAGTTTTTTAAAAGAATATTTTAAATTCATTTGAGCCAACACTGAAAGTATTTAACCTTTACTGTTGGTAATTCCATCACCCAAAAAAAAAAAAAAATTCCTTTGACACAGGAAAATATAACTAGCATCAGTTGGAACCCAGTCTGCCACAAGATGGCAATACAAGAAAGAGGCTTTAATTTCTTCTTCCACAGAGCTTGAGTGTAATCCGAACTTTGAAGTGAAATACAGGCTGGGCATTCAGTTGATTGTTGCAGGCAACCTTCAGACTAGTCCCTATTAGCTAAGGGTAGGGGATAGAGCTTCACACTTGCCTAATGTGTGAAGCCCTGGATTCAATCCCCAGCACTGGAAAATAAAAAAAACTCATTAGCCCTTTTTTAATCACATTTATATTTTTATTATATTCCTTTTCATGAAGCTATGTGGAGCATTAAAAATTTATAACCTCAGATACAATCTAGCCAGAAAGACAAGACTCATACAAATTATCCTACCACCAAATAAATGGTCAATTAGTGGTAAACACCAAATAGTTGTTAGAGAATAGCTAAAGTTAAAAAAATACTCTGGTGAAGGAAAGCTGCATGAATAAAAAAAATGCATTCAAGTGGACCTTAAAAATCCACATCTAATATGTACTTGCTTACTACTTCTAGTCACTTAAATTGTTTCTCAGTCACGATAGTCCACTTAACTAAAATTAAGTTTCTCCGTCACGATAGTCACATTTTAATTGCTCAGTAGCCATACATGGCCATACTGGTACAAATACAGACCATTTCCATCATCACAAACAGTGCTACTGGATGTCAGTGCCGTAAAAGATTAGTATGACTTAAAAAAAAAAAAACAACTGGTATGACTAAAATAAGGCAACAGGAAGCAGTGGCTATCACTTTTTAATTTCCCACTCTCTGTTGAGCACAGAAATTGTTTCATTCAAGTTTCACAACCCCATATTTAAGGAGAAAACTGATCCTCGGAGAAGCTACATCAATTTCCTCAGGTCAACTAATGTGATTTAAATCTAATTTTGTTGCAACTCCATACTCAATTTCACCAAGCACTTCCTATGTGAAATAAAAACCAGAGCTACAGAAGATGGTTTGCTTTAGCATGGAATGAGAATGATATAATGGCTCAAAGCAGAAGGAAACTGAGGTAGTTTCAAGCACCTCAGAGAGATATAATCAAAAGGCTTTTTTTTTTTTTTTTGGTTGTTCAGCCTTACCTTGAATTCACTGTGTAGCTCAAGCTGGCCTCTAACTCGTGGCAGTCTTTCCCCTTAGCCTCCCAAGTTTTGGGATTATAGGCACAAGCCACCACATCCAACTTTTACTTCTTCTTTATCCTGCACTTAAGTAAGACTTTAACTATATAAAATGTTTTCAGGGGTAGACAGCTTGCCTAGCATGCACAATGCCCTAGGTTCAATCCCCAAAACCACCACAAAAAAAAAAAAAAAAAAAAAAAAAAAAAAAAAAAAAAAAAAAAAAAAAACATGCAAGATTAACTAGGGGAACACACAAAGAAAAGCAAGACAGTGTCAGGGGTTTCTACAGTTTTAACATCTTCCTCAAAGCTCCATGATCCGAGAACTTCTTACAGAATAATTAAAATTCGAAAGAGACAACCTCTCTAGACTGCAAGAGGTCTGTCTGTTGTGCCCTTGACATATAGCACAAAGCCCAAACATAAATCTGTGTGCTGCTTTTCCCATCTGTGATGCTCCCTGTAGCATTCTAATTATGTTTCTGCAAGTGTAATTTTACCACACATAGGCCACTTTATTTTTATTAACTGTTCTATAAGTACTCCACACAATGGCCCGTTTATTGATTGTGGGCAGTAACTGCCCTTTGAAAATACTGCTGTACATGACCAGTTGCTGTTCACGTCAAACCGGTACTTCATGAATGACTAATACTAACTTCGTAATGCTAAATTTATAATAACTAACTCCGCATATCTGCAATTTTAAGATTGTTTTACCACCCAGTTTCATTTCCATTCCAGTTTACTCAGTGCCTACTGTGAGCCTAGCATTATAGAATACAACAGTAAACCTCCAATCTGTTTTGGACAGGCACACATATGTGTAATGCAAAGGTTTTAAGGATATCTTGATCAAAATTTAAGTACCTGCCTTTATATTCCCATCAGCCTTTAACCTTTCTTATCGGGAATCTCCAAATCAAACCCCACGTGTAGCTTTTAAGGGGTCCACAGAGATACAGGGGCTTTCCCAGGGACACTTCCAGGCTGGCATACAAGGTGCTAAAGACCCAGGTTTTATATCCTCAGTGGGTTTCATCTTCAGCCTGAAATAAAGAGAAAACAGAAAGTAAAAGGTAAAATGATCATTTGGCACTGTTTTCAGAGATAGTTCCATAAGGCACTGATAATCAGAGCAAACTCCAACTTTTATTTCCCACCTACTGTCAGCTGTTTTGGCTAAGAATACTTATTTCTTTTAACCTCCAAGTATAGAGGAATCCACATGCAGAATATATGAAACAAAAGAGGTAAGGTCAAAACTAGGACTAACTCTGCAGCTCATCCCAAGCTCATTCTGCTGTTTCACCTGGCTGCAGTCCCATGGCTGGTGAAACAAATGAAAGCATTAATACTTCAAGGCTTTGGGACAAGGCAATAGAAAGGAATAATATAAACCCAGGATGCAAGAGGAGCAAAATCGTCCTTACTCTGTTAACTTGTTATTTTATCTACATCATAATACTTCACCTACTTAGAATTTATAGAGTACTTTCCACAATTTACCTCATTTTGCAAAGTACTACTGTCACTTCCAATTTGTAAGTATGCGAGTAAGGTTTAGACTGAATGGCAGGCAGTTTAGCTTAATGGTTAAGATACCAAATTTTTCATCTGCATCTCTCGAATGATCAGTGATGTGGAACATTTTTTTCATATATTTACTTGCTGCTTTTACTTCTTGGAGAAATGTCTGTTCATTTCAGATGCCCATTTTTGAATCGGGTCTTTATATTTGGGGGGCTGATTATTTGAATTCTTTATATATTCTAGATAATAGTTCTTTGTCTTAGGAGCAGCTGGTAAAAATTTTTTCCTACATTGTAGGTTGTCTCTTAGTTCTATTGATGGTTTCTTTTGCAGTGCAGAACCTCACCCCACAAAGAATGGCTGCTATCAGGAAAATCAACCAAAAACAAATGTTGACAGAGTTGTGGGGAGAAAGGAACCCTTCTCCATGGTTGGTGGGAGTGCAGACTGGAGCAACCACTATGGAAATCAATATGGAGATACCTCAAAGAGCTGGGACTACAGGTTCCATTTGACCCAGCCATCCCTCTGCTGGGTATCTTTCCAAAAGAATTAAAAGAATCATATCACAGTGATATATGCACATCTATGTTTATAGTGGCACAGTCTGTAATAGCTAAAACTTGGAAACAGCCCATTTGCCTATCAGTTGGACATTGGATAAAGAGGTGGTTTTCTATAATGTGGAATACTACTCAGACATAAAGAATGAGAAATTAGATTCATTCATAGGAAAATGGACACATATTGAGGATATACTCCTAAATGAAATAAATAAGTCACACATGTGTAAATACTGAATAGTTTCTCTAGTGTGAATAACTGTAATAGTACATAAGATCCTAATGAGATAATTGACATTGTGAAATGGGAAGAAAATGGCTAAAGGTGTAGGGAAAGTGGGAAGGGTAGGGGAAAGGTAATAAGGGAAAAGGAAAAATATGAGAAAATGAAAAAATGGAAATAAAGTGTTTGTAAATGGGAAGGGGAGGAGGGGTGAAGGGAGGCCAGGGACAAGGGGAAAAAATGAGAACCAAGACCACCTGTCATGTAAAGGTACAAGATCCCAATGAATGTAACTGTACTGTATATCTAAAATGTACCAATAAACTCAATAAAAGAAAAAATGTAAAAAGATATAAAATTTTTTATTTCTCCCTCACATTTATTAAGCTATAAAATGACAAAATGTCTGTACTTACAGTATATAATGTCATGTTATATCATGTACACTTATGGTATATAATGTTATAGATATTATAAATAACATATCCATCACCCCACTTCCTACGTGTGTTGGGTAAGAACACTTAAGATCTAGCAGTTTTCAAGTATACTAAATAACACCTCTCCTTTGTGACCTCAACATGGAGAACTTGTGCACTACAGGTCCCACTATACACAGTCAAGATCCATCACTTAGAGCTTACTTTCAGGATAATCTTCCAACTGAAAGTCTCAGTGAGTAAAAGATGGTAATTAACAATTTAACTTCTAAAATAAAATTGAACTAATTTTGAATCCGACCATTTATCTTACCATTTACTTGTACACATGTAAGTCTCAGTTTATACATGAAGTATAAAAAGAGGAAAAACATGATGACATCTTCCTTCTATGAGGAGTAAGGAAGAATCCTTCCTTGCTCTGAGGATTAAGTAAAATCATTAGAATAACATACCCAGTACCATGCCGACTGCAAGGTACTCAAAAATGTGTTAGCTATTATCATTATTACATAATTTCTTGTTACATTTAACTCCCCAGGCAGATATAAACAACTGGAGTGCAAAGTGTGAGTTTTATACCTCTCTGAGGACATTATTCATTAGTTGGTTATTTTGACCTTGTGGTCTCAATCTGCTAAGATTGTATCTTAAGCCATAAGTAGAGGGCTCACTGGCACAATAGGCATCAGAATTCTCAATAAATACTGTTAAAATATAACATACAGAATATAAACAAATATACGTGTAATGTACACATTAAAAACATGACACTTTACTGCAATATAAAAAGAAAAGATACTCAAGGTGCTGGATCCCCAGCACCATGGAGAGGAGGGGGAGAGAGAGGGAAAAGGAAGAGGGGAGAAGGAGATGAAGGTCTCATAGTAATTCTCACCTTTGCATAATGTAATCCTGAATACTTTGCTTCCGACTTAGTAAAAATTCCTATCTATTCCAATCTACTTCAGAAGTTGAATGTCTCAAAATTTCCCAATATTCAGCACCAAATGCTAGCTTGCTGTTTCACAATTGATCCATTTACCTGTAACTTTTAGAATAGAAATTATTTCGTTTATTGAATGTTTGCTAAAAATCAGGAACAATGGTAACACTTCCCATTTGTTGCTTTAATCTCCACAGTAATCCAAAAATATAAGTATTTTCATAACTATTCATAGGCAAAGAAACAGTTCTAGAGATTAAGGAATTTGTCTGTTTAGCAAGTGGCAAAAACAGGATTCAGATCACAGTAATTCACTTGAGAGCCAAAACTCAACCCCCACATTGTACCTCCTATTGTATAATTTCACAACAGCCTGGAAAATATGATATTCTTTATTTTACATTCCATCAAATGACTAACATTCACTTCTGGTATTCTGTATTCCCAGTTTTAAAAGTCATTAACAGGCCAGGTGTGGTGATGCATGCCAGTCTCCCAGCACTCAGGAGGCTGAGACAGGAGGATCTCCTAAAGTTCAAGGCCAGCCTGGGCTACATAATGAGTTTGAGCCCAGCATAGACTACATGGCAAGACCCTGTCTCAAAAACAAAAAGCAAACAACTCATTAATGTACCATTATGAAGGCAGGCATGGTGGCCCATGCATATAGTCCCAGTACTCCAGAGGCTGAGCCAGGAGAATCGCGGTGAGTTCAATGGCAGCCTGAGCTGAGACCCTGTCTCAAAAAAACCAAGGGGAAAAAATACCACTGTGAGATTCTCCCCAGCTGGTAATGTCAAAAGTTCATGCTCAGTAAAGTAATATTAAAATTGTTTAAAGGCAGGTTCCTGGGATCCACCTTCAGAGATTCTCATTTAAGGGTGGGACCCAGAATCCTGCATTTTACTAAGCACCCTCAAGTGCCCTCAATTCCACTGAGGAATTTAGATGAGACTTGAAGAAACTCCAAGGAAAGAACACTGACTTAATTACTGTTGTTATTACTGCTAAAAGGAATAAACTCTGAGAAAAGGTAGCTTCTTAAATTTTCTGTATAATTTATTTAGAATGAAGCATCTCAGAATAGTCATTTATAGGTAATTAAAAAGTTAAGTATGCCTTTTGCAAGTCCACATCTGGCTGTTGACTATAGAAAAATATTATGTTCAAAGAGGCATGTACAAGAAAGGATGTTCAAGCCAGGTGTGGTGGCACATGACTGTAATGTTAGCACTAGGAGGCTCAGGCAGGAGGTTTGCAGTAAGTCTGAGGCTAGTCGGGCCTAAATACTGAGATCCTGCCTCTGAAAAACAAAAAGACATTCACTTTAGTATTGATTGTAAAAGCAAAACAATTAGAAACAGTCATGTCTGTTCAAAGGAGAAGCATTAAACCATGCTAGAATTGTTTCATGAAATACTACTATTGTAAGGGAACAAAAGTAGGTGTACATGGCACACTCCTCCCTTGCTCCTTGACTTAGGTCTTATGTGCTACCTCATCACCAACATCACTAAAAGCTAGATAAACCAGGGTGGCAGTGCACACCTGTAATCCCAGCACTCGGGAGGCTGAGGCAGGAGGATCTCTGTGAGCTCAAGACCAGCCTGGGCTACATAGTGAGTTCCAGATCAGTCTCAACTACACAGTGAGACCCTGTCTCAAAACAAACAAAAAAAAACCAGTAATTAGAATTCTCTTGGCTCTTTCTTTTCTGAAACAGATCACAAAACCTAAAAATATCACTCCCCGACATTCTCTTCTTCCCTGTCAGGTGACGGGTGTCTGGAAGCCCCAGGGAAGAAATGTCATGCACAAATGCAGAAGAGAAACTGAGTACACAGGCCTGCTAAATCCTCCTCTTCCCACCCTGTTTATTAACATCAGAGCATACTCTTTTGTCTTTCAATTACATTTCTGCACAACTGCCCTTAAAAACAAATATATCTCCCTGTTAGGCTGAGTTTTGTTTCTGAAAGCTCCAGCGTCATGTAAACTGATATTGAATAAATGTGTATACTTTCCTCCTGTTACTCTCTCTTTTGCTGTAGGGATCTCAGCCATGATCCTAATGATGAATGAGGAAAGATATCTTTCCCCCCTATATCCACAGAGGAATAGACCTTTGGGGAGACATTTCCTCTTATTGATGATATCTACCATGGAAAATGCAGTTTTCCTCCTGCTGTGTCTTTTCCCCTTGAAAAACCAAAATGATTTTTCCTTTCATGTCCGACAATTAGAGGGATTTGTCTTCTCTTTTCCAGGAGAGACCAATGAAAGACCCCCCTTTCAAGGCAAGGCCACAGTGTTAACATTATTATAGGCAGCTAAGTTAGAAATAAATATCTAATCAGAGAGGGACTGGACTCTCAAAGAAGTCAGTACAAAAGATAAAGACATCAGAACTATGGCGGGGGGCCTGGGCTCAAGGTAAAGATGCAATGGCCAGGCCTACATGCCTCCCTAAAGGATAAACAATAACTTGAGTTTATATTGTGATTAGCACCACCTGGTCCAATAAGTTCAGATAAGTAGGTGACCAGAGCATCTGGACAAAATACCCAACCCCCAAAGTTAGAGAGCGAAAGTCTTCCTTACCTTATAGTTCATAGAGGTTTCAGTCCATAATCAGCTGGCTCCTAAGGCAAGGTGTGTGGCACAGAGGCCTTCCAGACTAGAAACAATTCACAGTGGCCAGAAGGTAAGAGCAACAAGAGACCTTAACAGTGTCTTTCTGACCCCTTTTATCCCACCCAGACTACTGGGATTAGAGTGTTGTCAAAACAATCACTAATGCACAGTGGTTTAGTATCACAGCCCTTAATCCCAGAGTCACACATTCCAGATTGAGCCACCTCTGGAAGAGAAAGCCCCACCTCATCTGCATGAGGCCTTTGGAGGGACATCTAAACACAAGCCATAACACAGTGTGACTTTTTCCCATTGGATCAATATTAGCTAAGAAGCTGTATTTGTAATCCGATAGGTTGATTGTAGTTTGATCCACATTGTACCCACACAGGGGCTTTGCTGTATTTGGAACCCCTCCTGGAGATCCAGGAGCTATTATTCTCTCCTTATTTCTAATAAAAGTCTCCTAACTTCTTCCTTTGGTTTGTGACTTCATTCCTTAATATTGTGGGACCATAAACTCGACACATCTGACATCTAACAGGTCAGGAGTTATATGTGTCCTCTAGCCACATGACCTTTGTTTTTCTTTTTGGTTCCTTTTTTTTTTTTTTTTTTTTTTTTAAATTTTTTTTTTTTTTTTTTTTTTTTTTTTTTTTTTTTTTTTTTTTAGACAGGGTCTCACTGTGTAGTCCAGTCTGGCCTAGAATTCACGATCTTGCCTCAGACACCCAAATTATAGGATTACAAGCATGCATCAGTATGCCTGGCTTAACATGACATTTTCGGTACACATACATGCAAAAGGGTAAGAGCAATAGCATTCTACCCCTGGAAACATGAAGCACTCAATTCATACCTTAAATTTACTTTGCTGAGAGTATGTGAAAGTATTTTGGAAACTCTATTGGTAGTTGAGATATTTCTGAAGCCTACTGATGTTACCTCCATTTAGACGTAGATGCAAGAGACAGAAATAATCTCGTATTTTTCATAATCTATAAATGTCCCTCAAAAATCAACATTTAAAGCTGTTCTCGGTGGCATGCATCTGTAATCACAGCACTTGGGACACAGAGGCAGGACAACTGCTGTGAGTTTGAGGCCAGGCTGGGCTACTGAGTTCAAAGTCACTCTGGACTAGATAGGGAGACCCTGTCTCAAAAGAAGGAAACAGACAAGCAACATTTGAGAAATAGCTCCAAACTCTGAGGTTCAACAAATATTTTAATGTTCTTTCAAAAAGAAACGAGGGGCTGGATATGGAACACACCTGTAATCCCAGCACTCAGGAGGCTGAGGCAGGAGGACTGTTATGAGTTTGAGGCCAGGCTGGGGTATATAGTGAGTTGAAGGCCAGCCTAAACTGCACAGTGAGACCCTGTCTCATGAAAACAAAAAAGAGGGGAGGCTCCAGGGTGTAGCCCTGGGAGACAGCTTGCCTAATGTGCACAGGCCCTGAATTCAATCTCCACCAGTGAATAAATGAAAGAGAACAAAATGCTCCCACTAAAGTCTTGAACGCCCTTTTTGAGGTGACTTTATTTCACTTGAGAGGCCAATCATGAAAATAAAATACATTTAATTGTTTTCCCACACTAGTCAAGGTGCTGACCCCTAATTTAAAGGAATCTTTAGCTGCCGGGGTCCAGCCTCGGTGAGAGTTCAGGTCCTGAGGAGGGTTGGAGTCGGCGCTTGTGAAGGAATGAGACACACTCTGTAGGGATGAAGTGGTGTGCTTTCCGAACAGTGGAGGACTTCTTCATTTATGTCATATAGTAAAGGTTACATACGGAAACTGGCATATGTTTACAATTTCTAGATAAAAACTTTTAAGATCATTTTTCCACTAAACTACAGCACATACCTATTTTATTATTATTTCTTGGAACATTTTATGTATTGTCTCAGCTATTACTAATCAAACAATTTCCTAGTAAAAGCATAAATGAAAGCAAAATCGAAAGAACAATCCAAGCTTGCCACCATTTTTCAAAGTTCATATGTCTATTTCGGCTACAATGGAAAGACCTTGGCCAACTCTTAGCAGGTCACTAGGTTTTAATAAAGGACTACTGTGGTTATTCAACTTCTTGGTAAACTTTTATTTTATATAGGCAGAAAGCAAGTATTTTGCACTTACTAAGCCTTTCTATTATAACTATTCAGCTGCCTGGCAATAGTATTTACTCACTGTGTTCCTGAACATTTCATTCTTTCTGCAAAGGGCAAACTTGATATCTTACTCATTTTTTATCTTTCCACACCATTCTAACTTCATCGATGTAAGCCCTAGTGTAGGAAACGGTGTGGGGGGGTACCTAGTGGCCATACGATCACTCTACCACAAATTTTTGAGCACCTCTCTGGGATTTTTATAAGTAATTGGACACTTGGAAGAAAGCTGGGGGGCTCTTGTTGGAATGAATCCTCAATTATTGACAAATTGGAAACCCCTTTAAAGAAAGTTCCTGGGTCAGGGGTCATGCTTAGGGGCTCAACAACTGACACAACTGACACATATTTCTCAGAAGTAGCTTGTACAGGTTTTTTCATTAAAGCCAAATTTCCCATAATTACAATTAAGCCAATCAAAAGTGCAAGCAAAAATAAAAGCCAGAGTGATGCTTTCAACCTGAGGCCCGTCATTGCTGGAACTTTGTCAAGAAGCAATAGAGGAACCGTGGGCCTCACCATTTAGCAACAATAATAATCATATATTCTACATACTTAATCCTATCTTTAATTCTATTTACCATACTGGGAAGTGAACCCAGGGCCTTGTGCATACTAGACAAGTCCTCTAGCATGGAACAAATCCTTAATTCCTTTAATTATTTAGATTTTGTGACAGGGTCTTAGTAAATTCCTAGTCTCACCTTAAACTTGCCATTCTCCTGCCTCAGTCTCACAAGTGGTAATCACACTTTAAAACATCTTTGGTACAATTTTTTTTTTTTTTTTTTGGTACATGGGATCGAACACAGGACCTTGCACTTGTGAGGCAGGCAGTAGAACCACTGAGCTGAATCCCCAGCCTGCAGTGCAACCACTCTGAATGCTGATTTTTAGGAGTCGTTCTGAGGGGAGATCTAAAGTCCATACCATGGTCACATTATCTTTTAAATGTGTATGGAATAGTAATTATTGTTGCGGACCTTCTAGATCTGCGAGGAAGAAATGACAGAAACAAGACACACAAAGACAGGACAAGACTGCAGCCCTGAGGACCCAGTCACGTTTATTTATTTTATTTGTTTTTGTTTTCATTTTTTTGAGACAGGGTCTCACTATGTAGTGGAGACTGACCTGGAACTCACTATGTAGCTCAGGCTGGTCTTGAACTCACAGCGATCCTCCTGCCTCAGCCTCCCGAGTGCTGGGATTACAGGCGTGCACCACCATGCCTGGCTATTCTTATAGTCTTTTCCGGTAGCCCCCTCATCTCCTGACAATACAATTCTCCTACTTTATCTGTTTGACAGAACATTTCAACTGTCTCACAAGATTGATGACTCATGCTCAAGAACCCCAGAGCATGCAACTGGACTTCAGCCCTTCCTATTTGCTCAGAAGAGCACTCTGTCTTGTTTGCAGGCACAGAGTTCACCACATTCCCAAGGACTGTTCTGTTTACAGAACCTTATCTCATGAGATAGTGTAAACTGACAGCTGGACTTTGGTTTCTTATATTGTCTCAACTTCCTTCAAATTATTGTCATGTAATTTAAGAATACATTGATAAGAATAAATTTGGAGTCACCTAGATCTAACCCTGCTTCTAAAGATGACAAAATATGGCTGAACTGTGTCCTTCCCCACATGTATATGATGAGAGTCCTAACTCCTCAGATCCTTATTATTCGATTGTAGTTGGAAATAGGCATTTAAAGAGGTAACCAAGGTAAGTTAAGGCCATATGTTTGCACTGTAATCCAGAAAAATGGGTGGTTTGTGGAAGAAGGAAATCAGGACACAAACACCTGCAGAGAGAAGAAAGATCATGTGAAAATACAGGAGGAAGATGGACATCAATAAGCCAAAGAGAGAGAGGCCTTAGAACCATGGTGTCAAACCTAAAGCACATATGACACAGCAGGCTGTCTGGGTTTCTTTGTTTTGTTTTGGGTTTGTGTTTTTCAGGTTTGTTTGGGGATTTTTATATTTTTTCATTTCTTGAGACAGCTCACTTCATAATGCTGGCCTGCTTCACCATCACTGCCTTAGAAGATATCAAGCCTGTTAACACCTTTATCTTAGACTTCTGGCCTTCAGAATACGAGAAAATAAATTTGTCATGGAAACTGCGATCAATAGTTATGGCAATCCTAGAAATATACTATATAACCTTTTTCTTTTTAATTTTTTTTAATATTTTGGTTCAGGGGATCAAACTCAGGACCTTGCATTTGCGAAGCAGGCAGCAGCACCACTGAGCTAAATCCCCAGTCCTTGTTTGTTTTTGAGACATGTTCTCACTTTGTACCCTAAAACAGCCTTAAACTCTTGTTGATCCTCCTGCCTCAGACTCCAGAGTGCTGGTATCACAGGCATGCACCACCATGCCTGGAAATTTGCTTCCCTTCAAATTACTTAATGGCTTGCTGCTCCACACAACTGTTGTGAGAATTAAATATGTAAAGCTCATAGCATAAGAAGCTCTACATAAATCATAAATTCTATTATTATTGAGAGATAAAATTAAATGTGGTTTAGATAAAGAAAACTCTAGTAGGTATTAGTGCTTTTTTTTTTTTTTTTTGACAGGCATACAGTATTTCAGGCTGGCCTTGAACTTGCATCAGTCCTCCTGCCTCAGACTCTGGAGTGCTAGGATTAGTATCAGCTATTTTTGATAAATTTCTGACTTTTGATTACATCTTTAACTTGTTGTCTCATAGATATAGTCTACTTTACTTGTGCCATGCCTAAGTCAGATGCCTTTGAGTTGCCATTGAAATAAGTTAACCAATACAACCCAATATTTCCTGAGCATCTACATTTTGTCAATTTATTTTTCAAGTTCTTGATATGTCTTGAGGTTATAATGAATGGTGCCTTTTCTAAAAATTGTATTTCTATGTGCTTGAAGTTATAAAATACACAATTTATTTTTATGTCAGTCTTGCTAAGTTTTCACACTAAGCTAAAATGTGCAGGGAGGCTAGGATTTAGCTCAATGGTGGCCTGCCTGTCTCACAAGTGCGAAGTCCTGAGTTGGATCCCTGGTACTGCACACACACACACAAAAGAATTTAGTTTTTCTTGACTTTAAAAATATTCATAAGATCCCATACAAATACTGAGACCTTTTCTTCCTAAACTTTATATCTTTTGAACAAAATTTTAACAGTATAGTCCTTTAAAAAAAAAAAACAAAAAAAACTTTCCTACTTCAAAATCTAAAATGTTTATGTAATTTTCTTCTTAAATATCGCGAGCACTGTCCAGCAGTGCCTCAAACCTGAAAGAGCAGCGGGATGGAGATGGGGCAGAGAGAAAGGAAGGACGCCAAGACAAGAGTCTGATCAAGGCGACGTTTATTGCAGGCAAGCATCAGACTTTTAAAGCAAAAAACCACAAACCTAAGAGGAGGGGACATGATAATACCATAACAATCTTATCTGACCTAAAACAAGCATTAGGAAACTTCTACAGAGTCAGGACGTCATAAAACACCAGATGACTCAAAAAACTCGAAGGTTAAGTCTGAGAAACTTCAGAGCAGCACAAAATGTCTTAGCCAGATAAGAAGAAATAGGCATAAACATAAACTATCATGGTAATAGTAACCTTGGCAATTACAATGGCTGGGTAACAAAGATAAGGAACTACGGTCTTAGGAAACAGAAACATAGTCACTAAAACAGAAACTTAACTCTAAAATGGTTCCACTTAGCTTAGCATGGCAGCATTCCTGCCAGCTCGCAGGCCAGGGCCCAATACTTAAAGCATTTTCAAGTTTAAAAAAAGTTTTCAAGTTTCATTTTTGAATGTTGGTCTGTAATCCCCCTAATAGTTCATACACAGACATATACACTCAGACTAGGCCCAGCCACAGCTTCTGTTGGAGCCTGGCTTCTTGTTGGCCCAGCTTCCTCCCATTCCATTCCCCACACTTCTGTCACCCGATGTCCCTTCCTCACTTATCAGTTCTCCTACAAAGCAGATCTAGAACTCACTGTGTGAACAACTCCATCATAGGCACCCACCAGAAGGTCCTTTAATACTGTGCTGCTCCTTGGCCTTATCCTTTCACATTTGCTTGTGCAATGATCTAATAAGTATCTCTCCCTGAAAAGTGTAGACAGAAACTATGTCTACTTCTTGTGCCCAAAGAACCCAGCCAGATGTCCCATAAATATTAGTTGAAATAATGTCTTGCCTAGTTTTTGAATCGAAAAAAATCTACTTGTGTTGCATTATTTCAATACACCATTGGATTTGATTTACTAACATTTTATCTAAAATTTTTCTTTGTATGTATTTGTTTCTGTTTGCAGATACAATGTGATGCTCTCTTACAAGAGACTGTTAGCCTAACAAGTTATTTTAAATGATACTGGTGTCAAAATAAGTTAGTAGTTTTTTTTTTTTTTTTTTTTTTTTTTTTTTTTTTTTGTTTTAAAAAACACTCCTTTTTCCCCACACTCAGTTTCCTATTCACAAAGCCTGGGCTAGGGAATCCTGATTCCTACCAAGCCAAACATTTGGGAACTAAGCACCATGTGACCTCAATGAGGTGTTCCCCAGTCTGTTAGCACTGTTGCATTTTAAAGTTTCAGTAGCACCTGTGTGCAGTATGTAACCATTACCAACCGTGGAGTTGGTAACAGCATATAACACATCTTAAAAATTCTCTTTACTTCCCTTCCCTTCCCATCCATATCCCCTCCTTCACCTCTTGCTCCCCTTTCTATGTGCAAAAGATCTACTAGCATTCTTGAAAGCCAGCGCCTGCCAAAGATCACTCTGCAAACCGACAGAGCTCCTAAGAGAAATTTATTGTAGAGCCACTGCGGCACAGTGGCCTGCTCAGCAGAGGAAGAAAAGGAGACAGGAGCTGGGTGGAAAGGGCTTGGTTATATAGTGGGTGACTGGTGGAGGGGAGTCAGGGATCTGTGGGCTGCAGGGCAGCCCCTCAGGGGTCACTATTTGAGATCCATTCCTTGTAAGGATAAGACTGCCTTGCCAGGGCGGTTTCATTTACGACTGGTGATGCATGAGGTAGGAAACGGAAACTTTAAGGTGAAGAAAGTTACTTATCAGAATGGTGGTAGCCATGTTAAGGCACTTATATTCCTCCCTTTTTTGTTTGTTATGGCCTTGGGAAGAGGGACGATGAATCTCTCTTCTGTAGTGACTTCCTGCTGAAACGGGGCAGGTGTGGGGTGGTGAGAGGCCGAGGGAGGGATCTCTAGTCTGGCATCTTTTGCCTTTGCGGAGGAAGTGACATAGCTGTTGGAAGGTCGTTGTTTAGGAGCTTCAAGGAGGGCAATGGTGAGATCATGGAGTGATGGGGGCTGATCTAGGTGTGTGCAGGAGCTCAGGGGAGCAGCACAACCATGGAGAGGGGGGCCTGAAATGGTGAAGAAAGAACTGAGATGTGTTTTGCAAGCTTTACACACAACAGGTGGAAAGGGCTTTCCCTGATGGCAATAAAAAAATAGTACTGCCAAGGAGTTAAATGCATAACTTTTTAATGGGGGGAGGGGGTATAACCTGGGAAGGTGACTGGGTGGCAGAACAGATGGACCAAAAATCTAGTGTAGAAGTTAGGTGGAAACCAGGCATGATCTAAATTTCCCAGGTGCCAATTGGGGGCCAAAAACTTTTTGTGGAAACTGCAGTATCCCTAGAGCAGAACTAAGTTGCCTTGTCTCTGTCATGATGAGTCTAAAAAGCTCATACACTCAGCGCAGAAAGGGCAACCCTTGGATGAGTATGTCAGGCAGCAGATTAGGTCCTTTTTAGTAGGCGATGGTACTGTCGTGAGATGTATAAAAAGAATTGTGTTCCACATTTGGCATTGGGAGGGTTTTTGGGTCACTGGGAGATTTTAATCTGATGGCTCAACTTGTAGCAGTGGGGGTGGGAGTGTAAACCAGCAGATAAGGAGAAGGGTATAGAAGGCAACTAACTTCCTCTGAACTAAAGTCTTGTCCCTGGTAGAAATGTTCTGTTAACCAATCTAAGACCTCATCTAACTGATCTTTCTTGAGGACAGAACCAATGGAGGTCTTGCTGTAGTTGAGTTATGAAGTGAAGAAACCACAGCCAGATCTGGATCCACATCATGGGGCTTTATCCAAAAAGCAGGCTGGCAAACTGGTCACTTTCTGTAAGATAATCTGATTGACCATCTGATTAGAAATTGTTTGGATTTGATTTTGGAGGAATCGGAGTAAGCAGGGGGCTACCATGGCCAGAATGAGGATGCAAATGAGGGGACCAAGAAAAGGGAGGATCCATTGCAGAATACTCTGAAACAAGGAGTATGACTGTTGGCCTTCTAACTGTTCTTTTCTCCTTTAATTCTCTCTCAGAGGTCTTGAACTTTAGAGGTGACTATGCCTGACTGGTTAACAAAATAACAACAGTTTTCTCCTAATATTTGGCATACGCCTCCATGGGCAGCAGGCAGTGAGGATGTCTAGGGCCCTCCGATTCTGGAGTCCCACAGCCGCAGGAGAATTGATTTGGCTTTGTAAAGTGAACGGTGTCTACTACCCTATCCACATCTTCATTAAGTTCTTCAGACAGGGCCCTATAAAAATGAAGGATGTTGTCATTCTCGCTAGTCCCATCCCAATCCTGTCAGGGTTCTTGCTCCCACCAAAACCGGGGCTAAGAGGGAAATGGCTCTTTTAGATGGATCTTGGGATGGTCATATTCTGTGATTTATGACAGAAGTTGAAAAGACCTCATCTGGGTAAAGTTTTAGAGGTGGAGTCAGGAAGGCAACATAACAAGGAAGGGTGGAGGTACTGAGGCACTTATATGCTGAATCTCCGCATATGAAAAATAAACCAGGAGGGAGACATTGGCAACTACTGAGGGATAGGTTGGCTTGGTGTAGGACATTTGAGGCATTGGAGGCTGGATAGGTTTGTGTTATACATGTAAGGTTGGTTAAATTTATGGGTGTGGGCAAGCCCATGGCACAGGCTGAATACGCTTTATGATTTTTAAGAACATCTGTCTGAGAGGTATAATTATACGACGGGGGAATCGGGAAAGGAGTATATGGTTTTGGTACTATGGGTAGGAATTAATGGTAGTATTGAATAACCTGAGAAGTCTCTGTTGTGAGTCTGTTACGTACCTGATTGCCTTGAGATTGATTCGCTTTTAAGGAGGGGGTGTAGGTGGTTGTGAAAATTTTACGAGGGTCTGTTTTACTCCCTGCACGTGCTCTCGGAGAGCCCGGTCTTGGACTCCTCCCCCGTCAGACATTCCCAGTTGAGGAAACCTTGTAAAACAGGTGTACACCCCTTTTCCGCTGCCACAGCGTGAGACATAGGTCGTGCTAGAGCTTGTCATGAGTGCTACATTGTACTGGACCCCATCTTGGATACAGATCTCGGAGTTTTTATAGCAGCTGCTGTGCACATATGTGAAGAAGGTGAACGTTCCGGGGAAACACTGTCTAGTAACAGCACCTGCTTCCCACCACCCTTTGTTCCAATCCCTGGTCATGGTACAGCGTTCAGGGCCCCCACAGAGAGGCATGCATGAGGGCGTGGCCGTCAGAGATCCCGTGAACAGACCAAAACACACAAGCAGGAGAGGATGAACTAACATGTTGTCTACTCTAATCGTCTGAACAAAAGACAAGGCCTTAGAAGGCTAGAAAGATCGGAAGGCAAGTTAACGCCAGCAACCTAGAACGCTAAGAAAGCTGTGTAGTAACCCATGGGACCCCGGACCGTGTATACTTGATCGGGAGGGGGAACAAGAGCATTAGTGTAGCTTATCTGGCCCAGAAGTCTGCGATGACGGTGGATCGCAACCAACCGTGTCTTCGGGGATCCGGGTGAACTTTAATTTGAGTGGCCCGGTGGGGGTGGCAGCATAGGGTGGACGTCGTTCTGTGAAAGTGACTGGAGAAGAATGGTTTGGAGGAATGGTTTAAGGCGAGAGCAATGGTACCATCCCGGGAGATAGGTCAGGCCTGAAGCCGAGAGCCGTGAGATGTTTATAGACAGCCCAAGGGAGTGTCTGTCCCAATCCCAAGGCGGAGAAGGGAGACTTCCTCGCCCACGGAGAGACACAGTAAAAGCACCGTTCTGGAGGGTCAAGGGTCGTCACCACTCACGCTGGGGCCAAAGGGCCTAGGAGACTTGGAACTTGATGTCAGGAATTTTGAGTGCGAGGCCGAAAACGCACCAAGTCTCGTAGAGGGAGGGGGAGTCTCCACCACAGGACGAAACCCAGACCAACAAACCCGTGAATAAAGGCTGGCTACTCACCTATCCAAGAGGCAGGTGGTGGGTGAAAGGGGGGTCTCGTGCCCCTTCGGTGCCCCTTCCCAATTAGGCCACTCACGCACCGCACCGAGAGGTCCGGCAGGAGATCTTTATTGTAGGGAGGTGAGCGGGAGGCAGGAAGGCAGAAAGAGAGCGAAGAGCAAGTGCTGGGGTATTTATAGAGCGGAAGACTGAGGACTTCTTCCTGGGAGGAACGATCTTCATTGCCCTATCGCAGTCCATGCTGCTTTTCAATTTCCGCGCCTTGCGGAAGCTCTAGTTTCGTCAGACTGCTGAGGTAATTTCGGGGAAAGAGAAATTTAAAAGTCGGGGAAGAACCCGGAAGTAAGATAAAAAATGGCTGGGGGGGGTTTATATATATATTAACATGCACAGTCTCCTAACAGTGGGCGTCTGGACGAACGGACCGGGGCGGAAGTCGGGGAAGAACCCGGAAGTAAGATAAAAAATGGCTGGGGGGGGTTATATATATATTAACATGCACAGTCTCCTAACAGTGGGCGTCTGGACGAACGGACCGGGGCGGGAGGATGGGGCTCCAAGGCTGGGGTCCCTAGACTCTCCGCCTTACACCGGAGCCGGGTAACACCCGATCCCAGTCAGGACACCAATGAAAGAAGCCGCCGCTACGCACGCGTACAGAGCTGTATGAGAGATTTGTTGTAGAGCCGCTGAAGCACAGCGGCCTGCTCAGCGCAGAAGGGAGAAAAGGAGGGAGGGAGCTGGGTGGAAGGGGCTTGGTCATATAGTGGGTGACTGGTGGAGGCGGGTCGCGGATCTGTGGGCTGCAGGGCAGCCACTCGGGGGTCATTATTTGAGATCCATTTCCTAGACGGACAAGCCTCGTCCGCGCGTAGGTTTCATACACGACTGGTGACACGTGATGTAGGAAATGGAAATTTAAGGTGAAGGAAAGTTGTTAATGAGAATGGCAGCAGCCATGTTAAGGCACTTATAATTCTTGTACACTTTCTTGCCCACTTCTTGATCCGAAAAAGACAACCACCATCTCATCACACAGGACTAACTCATCAAAACAGCAATGACGTTTGAGAGGGAGCCGAAGAGAGGAGGCTGAATTGCGTTAGGAGCCCAGGGTTGCGGTGCCCCACTGAACACTTTCCTTTCGGCCGGCCCTTTTCTAACATCCTCAGGCTAAGGAGGGATCCGCCGGGTGCTGCCTGCCGGCGGTTCCGGAGCCTGCTGCTCAGTCTGCCCTGGGGCACCTGGCTCTCGAGGAACTCATCTCCCGGTGTTGGCCCTAGTCTCAGACTATCCCAAGGGTCGCGTTAACGTGCGCCGGACGCAGTCCGCTCGTAGCCCCTCCGATGAATTTAACTCTAACTTTTAGAGTAGTTCGGGGCAAAATATATAAGGCACAATAAAATAGTATATTTTAAGATTATGGTGATTTCCCATAAGACACAGCAATATGTAGATGTGACGGCGAGCTCCTCCCGATTCTGGCCCGGTCAGCTCCAGGCTAGGGCGCACGCGCACTGCGGGTTCTCAGCCCTTGACTGAGCCAGCGATTCCGGCGAGCGAGTTGATGACATCAAGGTTTGAAGCCGACTCGGCCAGACTGCGGGGCGAGGATCCGCGGGAAGCTGGCTTCGCAGTTCCTTCTCGTGGCGGAAGGCTGGGGTTCGGATGTGGGAAAAGGAACAGCGCCCCTCACCCTTACGTGACGCCTCCCCTTCCATCTCCGGGTGCCCTGCTCTTGGCTCCCAAACTAGTTTTGGCCTTAAGCTTTTAAATTTTTTTCATATTATTGTTCTTTAATTCAGAAAGTCTTGCGAAAGTATAAAAGCTAACAGTGCCAATACCATTGTCAATGCTGAATATTATTCAGTTAAAAAGCAGTTGTAAAGCTTATTTTTTGTATATCAATAAGAAAGGATAAATGCTTCTAATTAAACATTTACTGCCTATATGTCATCTGTTGTAGAATGCATCCCAATTACAGAAAGTGAAATTCGAATCCTAGGATTGTTAAAATCCACTATCCTGTGTATAGGCCCTGCTACCCTTAATGTAAAGGTCCATCTTACAGATTAGAAATTATTGTTCTCTGGGTTTTATTGTTGAGGACTTTGACTCCTGACTCCTGAGTTTCCATGGTTCTAAACTAGGTGTAGACCGTAGCGCCCTCTGCTGGTCATTATTTCATGCCACCTGGGGCACATTTATGTAGGTAGAGGAGGGAGCATAAGTAAATAGAAGAAAGGAGATGAGCAGGCTGCAAAGCTCAAGCCTCAGGTTATGAATATACAAAAGCCCTGTGAATCCACTTTATTTTATTTGGCTTAAGGAGAGCTTTAGGAAGGATTACTCAGAATAGTTCTCAAAACTATTGGGATGACAGTTGGTATTGTTTCATTGTAAATTTAAAAGCTTACTAAATTATTTCTTTAAAAGCTATCCCGCCCTAAGTAGGGAATGTAGGTCAGTGATGTAGCACTTGCCCAACATGCAAGGTCCTGAGATCAGAAGTGAACATCACACACACACACACACACACACACACACACACACACATATTTCCCAGCCAATCCCAATGGCTTAGAATGGTGAGGCAGGAGGATCTCAAGTTTGGCCAGTTTGGGCATTTTAGCAAGACCTTGCCTCAAAATTTGAAAAGTGAAGAAGGTGGCTAGAGATATAGCTCAATGATACTGTAAGACCTGAATTACAAGCCCATGCTAAATTACAAAGGGCCTAGGAGACAGTGCTCTAACCCCCTCCCATTGTAGCCATAGCCCCAACCTTTGTCTTAGGCTTAGGAATGTAAGGCAGTCTTGTACTGTTTGAAGTCCAGATCCTGATTAATGTGTAAGTTAGTGGTTCTAGAGAGACATAGAGACCCCAAGTTAATTGTCAAACTGTTTGCTCATCCTGAATGTCTTGGTGGCCTTTGAACCATCCTATAGGTATCTGTTAATCATCAATGTGTGACTGCTGAGTATGTGACTGCTGACCACCACCTCAAGTCAGCAGAACTTTGTCCCCTGCCTGCAAGCTTAAAATGTTAACCCCCCTTTTTTACCTCCCTATAAAAAGGACCTCAGTCCCTGAGCTGATGCTTCTCTGAGCTACCTGGCTCTGGGAGTGCCGTCTGGTCAGACTAATAAAGGTCTTTTTACCATCTAGCCTGGTTTGTTCCTTCCTGGGTGACTCTCGTTCCTCTGTCGAGCTCCCAGAGCCATCATTTGGGTTTTGGGCCTCATTATCGTGGAGGCCTTTTGGCTGTTCCTGCTCCATGGAGTGAAAGTGAGACTTTAGGTCTTACGATACACCATTTGCCTAGCATGCATGACCCCCCCCTTTTTAAAATTTATTTCATTTTTTTGCGATGAAGGATCATATTTACTCTGGACTCATTCCTTGGTCTTTGTCTGCTCGTTGTTCTTGCTCTTAGCTTCTGCAATATTAAATGAAACCAAGAGAGATAATAATGGCACTACAGCTACAGAAGACTCACCTCCTGCCAAGAAAACTCATAAATACCAGAGACAGAGAGTAAAAAAGGAGCCTGTGGCTGGAGGAAAGGCTGATAAGGGCAGGACAGAAGACACGCAAGGCAGTAAGCCAGAGAGGACATGAGCGGGCAAAAGGGTCTTGGGAAGGGTGGTAGTGATATCTTGTTCTTTCAGCTCTCATTTCTTCCTTCCTTGAATATATAATCAATTAATTTTCTGTGCTTTGTATGTACCTCAGTACTAATCCGCTTTGTTGAATTATCATATTTATGTGTCTGGCATAGATTGAGGCCTAGGCAGATAACCAGGATGGCTTAGGAACAGCAAAGTTCATTTTGACAGGTTTCTAACTTGACAGCTATTTATGATTGACATATATGTAATTATACTATGTATTCATCTTTTCTCAGAACCTGTGAAGTCATTGCTGTTAAAGGTAAAAGCTCCTGTGGACCCAGAGTGTACAGCCAAGGTGGGAAAGGTGAGACTCTGAGACCTAGTCTCAGTCCCTTGTGTTCCCTGAGTACAGTGTCCTTTTGTTTTTAGGATTCTTTTTTTTTTCCCCGTGTAACAAAAATCTTCCACCAGCTTTATTTCCTAACGTCTCCACAGAAACATCCATCTGAGTGTTTTTAGGATTCTTGTCTGAGACATTGCTAGTATGCATTTTTAGGAAATTCTCCCTAAAATTTCACTAGTGAGTACTTTTGTCCAAGAGTGAGAGGTGAGAGTGGGTGGGGTTTGGGGTTGATAATCAGGGGATTAACAAGGTTTCATTTTGCGGTTATCGTCAGGCTTTGATACCTTATTGCCTTTTTCAGCCAGAAAATTATGTTATTAGGGAGAATTGTTCTAATGAGAGACGGCCCTGTAATGCTGCAAGTTACTGAGGAGGGGGAAAGGTTTGAAGTATACAGTAGAAAAGTTGCTTTTTCTTTTGATCAAGTTTCTTTTGAGTTAAAATGTTTTGTTGGGCCAGGGATTTTGCTCAGTGGTGCTACTGCCTGCCTTGAAAGTGCAGGGTCCCAAGTTCAATCTCAGATACCAAATGAATAAATAAAATAAAATGTTGTTTCTGTAATTAGAAATTTTGGAAAGATACTCAGCAGATGGATGGCTGGGTCAAATGGAACCTGTAGTCCCAGCTCTTTGAGGTATCTCCATATTGATTTCCATAGTGGTTGCACCGGTCTGCATGGAGAAGGGTTCCTTTCTCCCCACAACCCCGCCAATATTTGTTATTGTTTGAATTCTTCATAGTAGCTATTCTTTGTGGGGTGAGGTGGAATCTCAGTGTTGTTTTCATCTGCATCTCTTGAATGACCAGTGATGTGGAACATTTTTTCATATATTTACGTGCTGCTTTTACTTCTTTGTCTGAGAAATGTCTGTTCATTTCAGATGCCCATTTTTGAATCAGATCTTTATATTTGGGGGGCTGATTGTTTTGAGTTCTTTATATATTCTAGATAATAATCCTTTGTCTGAGGAACAGCTGGTAAAAATTTTTTCCCACATTGTAGGTTGTCTCTTAGTTCTGTTGTTGGCTTCTTTTGTAGTGCAGAAGCTTTTTAATAAGATGAGATCCCAGTTGTTGATTCTTTGTGCTAGTTCCTGTGCTATTGAGGATTTGTTCATAAAATCTTTTCCTATGCCAGTGTCTTCAAGAATTCTGCCTAACTTGTCTTCCAGCAAGTTTAGTGTTTCTGTTTTAATATTTATATCTTTAATCCACTTGGATTTTAATTTAGTGCATGGTGAAAAATAAGGGTCCAGTTTTAATCTTTGGCAGGTTGAGATCCAGTTTTTCCAACACCATTTATTAAAGAGGGTATCATTCCTCCACTGAGGATGGTCAGCTCCTTTGTCAAAGATGACATAGCTGAGTACATCTAGATTTGTTTTTGTGTCTTCCAGTCTGTTCCACTGATCCTCAGATCTGTTTCTTTGTCAGTACCATGCTGTTTTTATCATAGTGGCTTTGTAGTATAGTTTCAAATTGGGAATTGTTATGCCCGCTGCCATGTCTCTATTGCCTTGGATGGCTTTTGCTCTTCTAGGTCTCTCTTCTGGTTCCAAATGAATTTTTGGATTCTTTTTTCTAGTTCTGTGAAATATAGTGTTGGAATTTCAATTGGCATTGCATTGAATCTGTATAGCAGTTTTGGTAGTATGGCCATTTTCACTATATTGATTCTTCCTACCCAGGATCAGGGGACATCTTTCCATTTCCTTATATCCTCTTCGATTTCTTTTTTCAGAGTGATGATACAGTTGCATCTTGAGTGAGTGTCCCCAAGTCATATCTGTTCGGGGTTGGGCAGATGTGGCCATGGTTTCTGTATGTTCTGTGTCCCCTCTCAACACTGTCCTGCTCTCAGTTCATTGTCATATTTCTGAAGCTGACACAGAAAAAGGACCTAAGTAGAACAGTCAGAGTAAAAAGTCATCTAAGCAACAACCCTTAATAGGTGTAGATCTGTGGAGCATCAGAATTATTCTCATCCCATTTGAGGAAAACTTATTGGAAATGAATCAGGAGTTAGAAACACAGATAACCAAGGAAATGTCTATGGAGGGAACTGAACAGGAACATCAAGGTTAGGTAGAAAGCTTTAGGGATTGTCCAGGGTCCTACTTTTAACATTTTATTTTATTTTTTGTAACAGGTATCGAACTCAGGACCTTGTGCTTATGAGGCAGGCGTGGTGCCACTGCTCTAAATCCTGGCCCCAGGTTCCTACTTTAATACATTGTGTTATGTTTTTTCCTTATGTTGTCTTTTGCTTTATAAAAATTACTGGTCTCTGTGACTAAGGATGAGTCACTGGTTTATGTAACTTCCATTTGCAATACCATGTCCTTTAAAAAAAATATATCCTTTTGTGTTCATTATTCTGTCACTCACTATAGACCAATCTCCAGCTCAACAACAAGTACTATCTAATTCAACTGTTAGAAGATGATGCCTGGAGAAACTTCAGTGTTTGGATGAGATGGAGTCGAGGTAATGACTTTCATTATGTGTTTTATGAGCTGTCATTCAAAAACCCAGAGTGAGTGGCTGAGTTTAAATGGAATCCATGAAACAGATTCAGATAAATATGCAGAAGATTAAAAAAAAAAACTCAATTGAAAGTATACACAACAGACAGACCCAATCTGAATACAGAATATCAGATATAGATATAGAAGACAGAATGGCAGTTGGTGATCATTAAAAGAGAGATCTGTTAAAAATAGTAAAGGCCCATGTGAAATCAGTACAACAACTCCTAGATGATTCAAGGAAGAATAATATAAGACTGATAGGAATCTATGAAAAAGCACAAGAAAGTACACATGACATGAAACTGTTCTCAGAATTAATGACACAAAACTTCCCAGAGCAAAAGAATTTGACATACAGATAATTGAGGTATATAGGACTCCATCTAGCCATGAATTAAAAAAAAAAATCTACACCTAGACATAATACTTAAGATCCCAGAAACCCAAAAGAAGAACAAAATACTACAAAGAGTTAGAGAAAAGAAACAACTCACATGTAAAGGAAAGCCCATCAAAGTCACACCAAACTTTTCAACACAAACCCTTAAGCCAAGGAGAGCCTGGAGTGTGGTATTTGAAGCCCTAAAAGAAAACAACCTTCCTCCTAGACAGATGTATCCTACAAAACTATCTTTCAAAATGGATGAGGAAATAAAATACTCCTATGACAAAGAACACCTGAGAAACTTCATGAATACCAAACCAGCACTCCAAACAATTCTAAAAAATATCCTAGAAAAAGACAATGAAAGTCACAACTCCATGAGGCCCAACAGAGCAAATCCACTAGGCAAGGCAAGAAATTAAAGGGAGAGGGGGAACAATTAAAAATTACCAATAACATGACAATGATAAGTCAATTTATATCAGTTATAACCATCAATGTTAATGGCCTCAATTCACCAATCAAAAGAAATAGGCAGATTGGATTAAGAAGCAAAATCCAACATTATGCTGTATACAAGAAACACACCTAGTTCAAAAAGAAACTCATAGACTGAAAGTAAAAGGATGGAAAACAGTTCTCCACGTGACAGGAACCTAGAAAAAAATAGTGGTAGGTATCTTATTTGCAGATAAAGTAAACTTCAATTGAAAGCTAATTAAGAGAGACAAAGAAGGTCATTACATCCTTGTAAAGGAAACAATCCCAAGAGGAAGAGATGGTAATCATAAATATATATGCACCAAATACTAATGTCCCCAGCTATACAAAACAAATATTAAGGGACATGAAAAACCAAATAAGCACTAATACAATTGTAGTGGGGGACCTTAATACTCCACTGTCACAAACAGATCGTCTAGACAAAAAATCAACAGCAAAATACTAGAACTGAACCAAGCTTTTGAGCAAATGGACTTAATAAACATCTACAGAGTGTTCCACCCCACAAAATCAGAATATACATTCTTTTCAGCTGCACATAGGTCATTCTCCAAAACAGATAACATACTAGCTCATAGAACATGTTTCAGTAAATGCAAAGGGATTTGAGTTATCCCATGTATATTATCAGGCCATAATGCAATTAAACTAAAGATTAATAGCATAAGAAACCACAAGAACTTCACAAAAACATGGAAATTTAACACTCTCCTGAACAAACAATGGGTTGCAGAGGAAATTAAAGAAAAAACTTAGACAGTTTTTACAAATATATGATAATGCCAATACAACATACTGGAATCTGTGGGACACAATGAAAGCACGTCTATGAAGGTAATTCATAGCAGTGAATGCCTATACTAGGAAAACAGAGTGAGTTCAAATAACCTAATGCTGAATCTTAAACTCCTGGAAAAAGAAGAGCAAGACAAACCCAAAACTCGTACAAGGGAGGAAATTATAAAGATCAAGGCAGAAATCAATGCAATGGAGTCTTAAGTGAATGGTACAAAAAAATCAACAAATCAAAGAGTTGGGTTTTTTGAAAGAATAAATAAAATTGATAAACCCTTAGATAACCTTGTTAAAAAAAAAAAAGGAAAGAAAAAATTCAAGTCCATGCAATTAGGAACAAAAAAGGTGAAGTCACAACAGATCCAGCAGAAATCCAGAGGATCATCAATACCTACTTCAAGAACTGTACTCCAATAAAGTGGAAAACACAGAAGAAAGGGACAGATTTCTTGATACTTATGAATTACCAAAGTTGAACAAAGAAGATAAAAAAATTCTAAACACCCCCTTTTCAAACAGTGAAATTGAAAACATAATTAAAAATTTACCAACAACAAAAAAAGCCCTGGTCCTGATGGCTTCACTGCTGAATTCTACAAGAATTTAGAGCAGAACTATTGCTACTACTCTTTAAACTTTTCAATGAAATTGAAAGGGAAGCAGTACTTCCAAATTCACTCCTAGAAGCAAGTATTACTTTGATTCCAAAACCAGGGAAAAGACCCAACCAAAAAAGAGAACTACAGGCAATCTCCCTAAACAACATAAATGCAAAAATCCTTAGTAACATACTGACAATACAGAGGTTCATCAAGAAGATATATACTCTGACCAAGTCGGATTTATCCCAGGGATGCAAGGATAATACATAAATCAATTAAATTAAATTAAATTTATGACATACGTAAATCAATAAATGTAGTATACTATATTGACAATGTCAAGGACAAAACCATATGATCACCTCAATAGGTGCAGAAAAAGCATTTGACAAAATTCAACACCCATTCATGAAAAAAAACTGCAGAAAATTGAAATAGATGGTCTTTATCTCAACCTAATAAAGGCTATCTATGAAAAACCAACAGCCAATGTCATACTAAATGGTCAAAAACTGAAAACCTTCATGCTAAAATCAGGAGCAAGACAAGGATGTCCACTCCTGTTCAATATAGTTCTGGAAATATTAGCCACAGCAATTAGACATGAGAAAGAAATTAAAGCAATAAAGATAGGAAGAAGTTAAAACTGTTATTATTTGAACTTCAGGACCTTGCACTTTCAAGGCAGGCATGGTTCCATTTAGTTAAATCCCAAACCTCTCCAGGTAGTATTTTTTAACCAGAGTTGAACAGAAGTAACTAGAACCACAGAATATGGAACCATGGATAAGAGGAGACCACTGTATTTAATTTTACCTAAAGTCTGTTCTTGTCATTACAGCAAATATAATATGGCCTTGCTGTATATTTCCAAGGTGAGAAAAACATTTTAAATCTGCTCGAGAGTCAGCAAGACTGAATCTATTGAGCAAGTTAGCCTTTGCTTGGCTTTCCCCATCCCTATCCTCTAGCTTTCGTATTGCGGTGCAGATCTAAAATGTCCATGAAAAGTCTCACACTCAGGGGTGGAGTCTGATGGGACGAGGTGTGTCACTGTGGGAGTGCCTGTGGAGGGCACTCTCCTTCCATGGGTCCTCCTCTCCTTCCTGACCGTCACGAGATGAACAGCTCTCCACCATGCTCTTCCACCGTGAGGTTCGTGCCTTGGAGCCAGCCGACCATATACTGAACCCCTGAACTATCAGCTGCATCATTAAATCTCTCCTTTAAGTTGTGGGTGTCAGTATTCTGTCCCAGAAACCAGAAAGCTGGCTAATACACTTAGCTAGGATATTTTTGTGAACTTTTCAGACCTTGGAAGACAGACAGCTAGAGGTTCCTCCTGCCCTTGGTCCATGTTGTTAAGAAATCAAAAAACAAGAATGAAATGAGTGCCTTGTGCATTCTAGGCAAGTACTCTACCACTGTTCTGTGCCCCTTAAGTCACTTTTAGGAAAATGTCATGCCATGATTCTCTGTATGATTTCTGGGTAGGATTATGAACCATACATTTCAAATTAACCTCAACCAGTACTTCTCTAGTTAGAAGAAGCTTATGGAAGTGGGGATCCATAAGATATATTTACAACCTTTGCATGAAAATGAGGCACATGAGGAAGACCAAAGCATGATCTATCAACTTGTATCAGTCTATGGCCTTTATCCTTTACTTAGGGAAGGTCACAGGGAATTGGGTAGAAAATATAAAGCCCCCTGATGATTTAGCCACCTGGCTTCAAGGCAAAGTGAGGGCAAAATGCAGTACACCCAAATTCTCCAAATCCTTTAAATTCATTAATAGACCACAGAACAATGGTTTTTCTCTGGGCAAATGCTACCTACCTACTACAAAAATAATTCTCGTAGTACTGCTTTACATCTACGATTCTTTTTTTGTTTGTTTGCTTTTCAATCCTCTGCCTCTGCCTCCAGAGTGCTCAAAAGTCCTTAAATTCTTGGACACAGATCTTTCCTTCTTCTAAACCATCAGAATAAGGGAACTGAAGGAATACCTCTTCTGCAGGTTAAAATAAGAAAATTCTAGAACTTTAAGAGGATTAGAGTCCTTGGTAAATCCATGGATGCGACTGTACTACTTCTCCATGTTTTCAGCTTTGTAAGTTTCAACTTGAGAAAGATCTTATAGTTGTGATTTTTTTTTCCAGGAACACCAGTAACTGTGTTGATTAATGCCTTCAGAGAACATGGAAAGGCACCAGGCTCATTCTGCTCTCAGTGCCTTGCTTCTCCCCACTCACCTGGGAACTTAGCTCTGACAAGCACTTGTTTCTAGGAGGGCAACCTTATGCTGTCCTGGCTGCATCCCAGATCTTTCTAAATGCCCTGCTACCCTCTTGGCTCACTCTTCCTTCCCTTGTTCTTTCTCACCAAATGAGCGATCTTCAGCTCTCTACTCAAACTCAGTGCTGCTAACGTCACTCTTTGTCCTCCTCCTGGAAGGCCTGGGAACTGAGGTCCTGGGCCAGCAAGGGACACGGGAATTGTAAAGCCTGGGTTCAAAGAGACTCCACGAAAGGTGGGGTTCACTTTCTTCTGATCCTTTGAAGAATTCATGTTAAACCAGAGAAGAAATAGAGCATCCATATTCTTCCCTCTTGGTCTAAAGAAAGCCACACGAGAGCAGAGGCAAGGCTGTACTTAAGACTCTGACCGTTTATTTGTACCTTCTGAGGAAAGAGGTAGCCACATACTTTCAGGCTTTGCATCTCTAGCACAAGTGGCAGCACCTCGCCCCTGAGTTGTGCATTCTCATTCCCAGGACAGAAAGTATACATTGCCCTGTGTGTCTCCCACAGCGAGCCGCAGGGTCGAGTCAGGTCCCAGAGAGGGTTCCAGGCAGCTCACTGCCCCTTCACATCGGAACAGGCCCACCTAAAACAGGAACAGAAACAGGAGGTGAGGGCCAGCTACCTGCCTGGGCTCTCCCTAGTAACTTATTTTGTTTGCATATAAATAATTGCCTTTTATTTAGAAACAGGTATATCACTGTAAGAAGAATGAAAGAAGATGGAATTTTGATCTTGTGCTTTCCTTACCCAAATACGTTCTCCTGTAACATCCCTTTAGCCCCTTCTTGGAAGTGTGTTTGTTGTACACACACACACACTCTCTCTTACCAGTTGCATAGTGGTTCTCTCCCACAGCTTAACATCTCTGTCCTTCGAAGCTGTCACCAGCAACTCAGGCAGCACATGGAGGGCCGTGACAGAGTCCGAGTGAATCTGAGTGGGCAGGAACATGTTACTGTGAGTCCTTGGTAAAGGAAACACTGAAGTCGCTGTGTCAGCCTACAGCTTCCTCCCTACCTTTGTGACCAGTCCTTCAGCCTCACCTTTCTATGCAGCTGCGTCTCTAAATGTGGTTCCATCATCCAGTTATGTATGCTGGCACATGATGGGTCTGTCTCCAAAGCCTGGACTTCAGGTGCTGCTACTTTTTTCTGCCAGATGTTTCCTGTGATCCATTCTCCTTCCTGGGTGCGTCCAGCCACCCTCCATAGCTCTCCATCAGAGCTGGCACACAAAAATGATGACCCTGCCATTTTAAGGGCAGAGTTAAAGCCAGGTCTGCACCTCCCAGGAACTGCACACCTCACCTAGGGCACCATGGGGGCCCTCTTGGCTTCCCATCTCTCTCACCAGATTCGGGTTTGGCCTGAGTTATCATTTGTGAGTTTCCACTAGGATTCTCTAAATTCAGGAAAAAGTCCAGGCGATCTTCAATCTCTCCGGATTCCTTTTGCTGCTGTAAGGAGACAGGTAACTTTGATTAGCCTGCTTATATTCTACAACTCTTCCAGGCATAACAACAATGTTCTCTTTTAGGATGATCAGAACTTTCTAAACACAAACTATGACATGGATACAGTACAGGACACAAATGTTAAATGTATAGCTCAGAGAATTTTTATATAGTATTTACTGATCCAATTACTCCTAGATCAATAGATATACAATGTTTCTATCACCTGAAAAGTTATACATCCTTAGTCTATCTGAGGCTACCACGAGAGCTAACAATATGTTGATTTCTGTCACCATAAAGGAGTTCTGCTTATTCTCAAATTTCATTTATATATAGTAGGATCTCTTATATGTCTGGCTTCTTTTGCCCAGAATAATGCCTGTCACGTAAATCTGTATTGCTCCATTCACTGATATTCAGTATCACATTTTTCCCACCATGTACTATTCCATTATGTAAACATACCACAATTATTTATCCTTTCCTGTTTACAGACATTTAGGTTGTTTTGGCTTTAATGAATTACACTACTACAAACATTCTTGTACTTATCTTTTGGAGGATACATGTACTTATTTCTCTTAGGTATGGAATTAGGAATGGAATCAATAGGTCACTGATAGGCTTTATGAGTAACTTGAACAGATATTAGGTTAGGTTTAATAAGCTTTCAGAGAGCTTGAACGTCTAGCTCTGGCACAACCAAGTCACCAAGTGCTGCAAGTCTATGAGGGGAACATAATGACAGAGACAAAGTTGCAATCCTTGCCCTTGAACGCTAATACAGTGATGAGACAGAGAAATAAAAAATGCAGTTAGGGAAAATTGTAGGTTCCTGATTTCCCTTGATTTTTTGAACAGTAGAACCCTTTTTTATACTACTGAATTCTTACATGGAAAACCAGTAACTCACACTCTGAAGAAAGATAAGGGGATTTGGACCCAACTGCTTTTCCCTCCCTTTCTCCTCTAACAAGAACCCCAATGTATAAAAACAGTGGTTCTAGACAAATGTTTAACACGTACCCCAACAGGACTTACCAAGAAACAAAGACACTGAGGATAGTGTCCTGCACTCAGGTAGAATGCACCATACTCCTTGTGGGTAGACAATAGTATAGGATAAATTTCAGCCCTGTCCCTGGTGTATAAGAAAGAAAGAGAATGAGCCCAGACCACCTCTCTTCAGAATTCCAGTGTTCTCTTCTAAGTTAAACTCAGAAAAATTCTTTTTCTTTCTCTAGCTCAGGATGAATAAGCATTGTGGATCTTACCAGATTACAGACGGAGCATCCCCAGGCTGCAGACGTAGTATTTCCATATTCGCTTTGACCAAGATAAGAGAATGACCATCAGGGGCCAGGTCCATACTTGTCAGGACCCCTAGGTCCTCTTGCAGAACTTGGTCCAGGTAAAGACTGTAGCTCAAAAAATGTACAAATAAAAATCTTACTTTAGTCAGCCTCTCTTGGACTACTTAGCTCCCCATGCATTCCTCACAGCGAAGTACAGAGCAAAATGCATCATCTTTCCTAACATAACCTGTTCATTTTTGCGAAGGATCAGACTCGGGGCCTTTAGCATGCTAGTAGTGTCCATTACCACCCTCCCCTTACTTGCTCAAACCAGGAACCAATGACATTCTTCTTTGTTCCTTCCATGCCTAACTCCATCTGATGAGTACACTCTGAGCATTCTTCCTGCAACACATTCAAACGTCTGTATCTTTCCTCTCATTTTGATTGCCCAGGTCAGGGCCCACAGTATATCTTCCCCGGGCTACAGCAGCATCTGTAAAAGGTCTCCCTATCTTTGGTCACAACTACTATCCATCGGGCCTCTATACTCCCACCAGAGTTTTCTCTCACTAAAGTTCTTTTATTAATTTTTGCTTATGTTTTTGAGACAGGGTCTTGCTATGTAGCCAGGGTGACCTCGAATGTATGGCAATTCTCCTGCTTTAGCCTCCTGAGTGCTGGCCTTACAGGTACGCTCCACCATGCCCAGCTTCTCTCAATAAAGTTCGGATCATGAGGATTTGGCGGCATTGTTCAGTGGCAGACTGTGTGCTTATCAGTGTGTGCAGGGCCATGGGTAGACAGATTCCCAGTACC